CCATAACTAAGGCTATTTACGGATAACTAAGCCTAACAAGAGGTTCTTAAAGAGGGGGGGGGGGGTGGCGGCATCAAGGGGAGCAGTAGGGGAACTCCATGAGGGGGTCCGAGGGGCCCCAGAAGTGCAGCATCCGGACGATGGGCGCCAGGGGCCAGGCCCATGAGAGCCTCGGGGGAACCCCTAGCAAGAGTTGTAAGTTGAGCTGTTTCCTACAAATGGTAGTACCTAAATATACTAAAAAAAAAAACCATTGTTCCCAAGTATCCTGTCTGCATCTCCTAAACTTGGGGGCTTCTAGGGCCTCAAGGATTGAAGGGCAACCTGGTGTGCTCATATCTGCTCTATGTTGAACACAGCGTCAAGTCGTTTGGCCTCAAGTGGCTGCTTTCTTGAGGCTAGGCTGCCCAGTAACCAAGGCTTGAAAAGGGTGCCCTTTTTTGCTTAAAAGGGGTTTATAAGGGAACTTAAACCCCCCAAAAAGGGAATAAGGGTACTACGGGGCATCCTAGGAGGGGAAGGGCTGCGGAGCTGTTAGGGTCCACGTCTTAGAGGCGTGACGCTTTCAGGACTGCGATTCCACAAGCCTTCATGTGCGTAGTAGGTTTCGTCTGGTGTGGGAGTTTATGACGTCTGTGTAGACTCTTCAGGCAGCTGAACTTGGCCTAGTCATATATATATATATATATATAAATATATATAAATACTGGGATTTGGGGTTTGGGGGGCATTGAGGCGAAGTTCCAGCATCACAAGATGACTCTCCTGGACAAATTTCAGGGAGCTTGCGCTCTCATTGAGTCCACAGCCCCTGAATACTCTCTAAGCGCACAAGGCTACCCTAAACCCTAAACCCTAAACCCTAAACCCTGAACCCTAAACCCTAAACCCTAAACCAGAAACCCTAAACCCTAAACTCCTTTCCCAACACGTGAGCTTGGAGGCTCAAAGCTCTCCGCAAAGCGCTCTGTTACGGTGGGACCGCAGAGGTATGCCTTCGGGCCGCAGGTTTAGGGTTTAGGATTAGGGTTTAGGGTTTAGGGTTTAGTGTTTAGGGTTTAGGGTTTAGGGTTTAAGGTTTAGTGCTTCATTGTGCAGAGCTTCTTGAGGATGTTACTTGGCAAATTGCACTGTGAGCTAAGGGCGCCAGAAACTTGCTTGCAAATACGCCTTGCCCCGATCATCAACAGCACCTCAGGCCTACAAAGCCTTTAGGATGTGGTTTAGGGTTTAGGGTTTAGGGTTTAGGGTTTAGGGTTTAGGGTTTAGGGTTTAGGGTTTAGGGTTTAGGGTTTAGGGTTTAGGGTTTAGGGTCGCTAGCCGCTGCCTGAACTGGAAGCGCCCCGTCCGTGAACCAATCGGCATGCTCCAGACATCCGAGCCAGAGGCCGGGGGCCAGGAAGATGTGGCTCCAGGACTGGCAAGGTTGGTACAGCTACGCCACAAAAACCCTGAACCCTGAACACTAGACCCTGAACCCTACACCCTAAACCCTGAACCCTAAACCCTATACCTTAAGCCCTGAACCCTAAAACCTAAACCCTAAACCCCGAGAAAAAGGTGAGGTGAAGTTAAGTGCTTCCTAGCACCTTGCACGGGTGGACGAGTGCTTGGCCCGCTTGATACTTGGGGGCATCTTGGCTTTCTGATTTGAGGAAAAGCTGCGGTTCAGGGTTTAGGGTTCAGGGTTTAGGGTTGAGGGGAGTCGGCTCGTAGCCGCAGTGCTCTTCAACCCATTTCGACGGAGCCCAGGTCCTCGTTTAGCGCGCGGAGGATCTTGATCTCTATCCACTTGGCACGGAGGAGTAGAGGGACGTACAGCGCGTACCCCCAGAGTGGCATCCCCTTCTCACAGCTGCTGTCAACCTAGACCCAGGAGTAAGCCAGGAATAAAAAAGGATACCCTTTTGGGGTGTTAAGGGGATTATAAGGGAACCCCAATCAAAAACACTAAACCCTAAACCCTAAACCCTAAACCCTAAACCCTAAACCCTAAACCCTATACTCCGGGTCGTAGCAACCGAAGCCAGGATGGAGATCAGGGGATACAGCAGCATCAGCCGCATTTCCTGCCGCACCACTCGCCCAATCTTCTCCTTTGCTGCTGTCGTCCACTCATGTCATAATATTCGAGTATTACATGAATTCGTACTTGATGATACACATATATATATATATAAGACTACACTATATTCTATCACACCAAATCTACACTATATTATACTATATTCAACTATATTATTATGCGCTATTGTACTATGTTATAGTATATTATGCCAACTGCAGTCTTGGATGCAGCATGACACCCAGCAGCCCGTCTGAGAATACTTCCATCAACAAGAAGTCATGGACTAAACGCTGAACCCTAAGCCCTAAACCCCAAACCCCCAAAGCCCTAAACCCTAAACCCTAAACCCTAAACCCTAAGCCCTAAGCCCTAAGCCCTAAACCCTAAACCCTAAACCCTACACCCCAGACTCCGCTGAAGCCCAGCTTCGTGATCCGGTCGGTATTCGTTGGCTTCAGACACGAACTCCTGCCCAGAGACCATAGCCAGCTGAATTGTAAAAAAAAAAACACCTCACCAATGGGGGCCTGCGATCTTCGGGGTATTCTATCGGGGTCCTACTCGGGGATCCTACTATTTGGGGTCTATCTTCGGGGTCCCTGATTGTCGTAAACACCCAACTATGCGCAGAAGGGTGGTGTTGATGCTTGGGCGCTTGTTACTTTGATGGCCGGACAACCGTTCCAAGACGCGGCAAATTGCAGTGCTCCAGGGTGTCAGCAACTCCCAAAATCCGTACAACACAGCTCTACTTGGGTGCTTGTAAGTAGGGGTAGAAGTAAGGTAAGCATGGCGATGGCCCAACAGACTCATGCTGTGTGCCCAGGACATGCTCCTCTGCGCCCTTACAATCTCGGGTTGAGGGTTTGGAGTTTCAGAGTTTTTGTCCCAAAACCCTAAACCCCTATATCCTAAAACCCTAAAACCCTAAAAGCACTAAACCTCTACATTCTAAACCCTAAAGCCCTATGCGGCCCCTAAATCCGCATAAGGTCTTCAAGGAAGCCAGCTCCTTCTGCTAAAACCCTAAACCCTAAACCTCTACATTCTAAACCCTAAAGCCCTATGTGGCCCCTAAATCCGCATAAGGTCTTCAAGGAAGCCTAAACCCTACACCTCTACATACTAAACCCTAAAGCCCTATGTGGCCCCTAAATCCGAAGAAGGTCTTCAAGGAAGCCAGCTCCTTCTGCGAGAGGGGCGTGTATGGACCGCCAAGTTGGAAGTCTCCCCGCTCCCACCCAGCTTTCAGGCAGCCAAAGCAGCCTTGATGAAAGTAGGGTTTAGGGTTTAGGGTTTAGGGTTTAGGGTTTGGGGTTTGGGGTTTGGGGGTTGAGGGTTTAGGGTGCAGGGTTCCAAAGAAAAAGGGAACCCCCAAGAATAGAGTAGGAATAGAAAGGGGAATAGAAAGACCCTGGTAGGGATACTCTTATATTTCTGCTATATTGTTGGGGTTCCCTGTTTGGGGTTTCCACTAAAGTCCTTGACGTGAAGCAAAGGAGCGCTTCATCTAGGCTGGCACTTAAGATCCTCTGAAGAACATTCGTAATAAGGGAAAGCGTAAATACATATATATATATATAACATATCTCAAGGGCCTAGTACTTACGTAAGGCAACCTACCCCCCCCCCCCCCCAAGGAAAGCTTTGGGCTTGCTGGCTCTGAAGGATTTGCTAGGTCTGGGTGGGTGTCGGGATGCAGGAAGGCTGCAACCAAGGGTCAACATAAATGGAAGAAGCAAGCAAACAAACAAACAAAACAAGCAAGCAAACAAATACATTCACACACAAACACACAAGCACACAAACACACACAAAAACACACAAACACACACACACAAACACACAAACACACAAACACACAAACACACAAACACACAAACACACAAACACACAAACACACAAACACACAAACACACAAACACACAAACACACAACACACACAAACACACAAACACACACAACACACACAAAAACACAAACACACAAACACACACAAACACACACACACACACAAACACAACACACACAACACACACAAACACACACAAACACACACACAAACACACACACAAACACACACACACACACAAACACACACACACACACAAACACACACAAACACACACACAAACACACACACACAAACACACACAAACACACACACACACAAACAAACACACACACACAACACACACAACACACACACACAACACACACACAACACACACACAACACACACACAACACACACACAACACACACACAACACACACACACACACACACAACACACACACAAAAGATGAGCAAGCTCAAAAACATAATGTCTACATTCAGTAGCAGAGGAGTTGTCCACAGCCGCAGATCAGCACGAATAAAGTGGCGACGATCCAGGTCTGCCACGGCCAGGGCCCGTGACCTGCCAGGGGCGCACCCCATGGGACAGTGTAGAATATGGGAGACGACCCTCCGCCTGAGGGGCTCCGACAATCCCTAAACCCTAACATTCTAAACCCTAAGCAGTAACCCTAAACCCTAACCCCTAACCCCCAAACCATGACTCCTTGAATCCTAAGCCCCAGAACCCGAAACCCCTCTGAAGTGCCAATGTCGCTAGCTTCTCTTAGAGCTCAGTGAAGTGAAGCAACCTGCTGCAGCTCTGGGTCGTCCAGAACAGCTTAGGACCCAGGATGGTTTGTGTTTTTGGTTTACAGTGCGCTTAGGGTTGAGGGCCTGGGGAGTTTGGGTAAATCGCCATGCCCAAGACGTGTATATATATATATGTGATATACATATATACGTATATGCTATAATATATATATATATATACACACATCTGTGAAGTCCAACCTTGGTCATCGTCCGCGTGGGATTCACGCAAGAGCCGACCGCCTGGCCAGTCCTGCGTGGAAAGAAAGGTTTAGGGTTTAGGGTTTAGGGTTTAGGGTTTAGGGTTTAGGGTTTAGGGTTTAGGGTTTAGGGTTAGGGTTTAGGGTTTAGGGTTTAGGGTTTAGGGTTTAGGGTTTAGGGTTTAGGGTTTAGGGTTTAGGGTTTAGGGTAAGTCTTTCGATTGGGGGGCATCGGGCTATTTCCTGATAAGCGCTATGAATCTAAGGACTCTAAGTGTATTAAGTGAACATATTAAAAGATCCCAAGTGCCTACCTAGCTTGTTCTCCACCGGAGCATCCTCGGATGACGCTAGCGAGAGCGCCGCTATCAGCGCCGCAGTGAGAGCCAAGCGGAGGCAGCGCCACACAACGGCGGCATGGCGTGGCATCTTGCAACTCGAAACTCCGGACTCTTGTGTTGAGGTGTCAGGCTCGGGTAGACCTTGAAATCTCGAAGCCCACATTAAGGCTTCGAGCCTTGCAGGCGTCTCTGTTCCGGGTCACGAGGACTGCAAAGCTGAGGAGTGAGTGTGCGCGCAGTTCTCAGGGATATATACAGCTATTGGAGCATTCTGAGACTTTGGTGCGCGTTAGCTGAGAAAGCTGCAATGGCTGTGGCGTGGCAGGGCGGCGTAGGTGAATCTGCCTGAGATAAGGCCGTAATTTTCCCTAATTTGAAACCAGTAAGCAACCCCCTTCTGCCTATGTTCATCCCCAAGCCTAAACCGTCAACCCTAAATTCAACCTTAAACCCTAAATCCTAAACCCGAAACTAGGGTGCCAGGTTTTTCAATTGACAGGGGCGCGATGCCTTGGATGAGCGATTCCGTCGTTGCCCACGTGTCGACTGCGATGTAGACCAGGCGTCTGGGATGGCTTTGGCTGAGAAACTACCAGCCAAAGAGACGATAGGGTTTAGGGTTTAGGGTAGTTTAGGGTTTGGAGAACCGGGTTGAACCCCCTCCTCCCCGGCCCCGCCCTCCCATGTGCTGTGAGCGACCGTCTCTAGCAATATGTTTCAATCTGAGATCGACGCTCTGCAAACACTTCATCTATGTCTTGAAGAAAGCGACGTCATCACACTTGAAACCACACTTGAAGAAATCACTCTTGCTTTCTCTGTAGATGTACACGTGTTCTTGAACAGTTTCCCGAGTTTCTCGCGCTGCTCACATCCTTCCCCAACCGAAGGATGCGCAATGTCTTCAGAGGGTGGTCACTCTGCCGTGGTCCCCTAAGTCCTACGAATTCTAAAGCCTAGGGTTCAGGGTTTGGGGGCTTAGGGTTCTGAGGGGCTATTTAGGGCTCAGAAAGCGGGCAGTCTCCAGAATTGTCGCATGGCAAACGTTGCTGTGAAAGACACTGTTCGAGTGAGATAACTAGGGCAACCCACGTCTCGTAGTACTTAGGACATAGGATTCTTAGGGTTCAGACTCCTGACCCTTCTTGAAACTGGATCGAAAGCATGATTTTGGGTTTATAGGGTTTTGGGGTTTTGGGTGTAGGGTTTTGGGTTTAGGGTTTAGGGTGACGAGTGTCTTCCCGGATTCCGGGTGCACGAAGATGAAGGCCCGCGCGTGCAGTCCTGGCGTTTAGGTGTCTTGGAGCGAGGCATCTTTTTGGGCCGGTCTCATGGGGCTTCTACGGCAGCATTGATCTAAACTCCACTTAGAACCTTATAAAACTCTTATAAGGAAAATAGTAGGTGTAATATTCCCTTGGGTTTTATATGAACAGAAATGAGACTTTGATCCTCAGGGGGCTATAGTGATACGAGTGAGAATCCTACAGCACCCGGAACCCACAGAACTATGAAGCCGCCAAACAGAACGGGGGTTTGGGGTTTGCGCGTTCCCCGGAAGTTATTCAACCCCGTATATGAAGTCCAAACACCCCGCGCATTTCAATCGAACGTCCTGGCTTCCAACTTCCAACAAAATACCGAAACTCCTGAAGCGCACATCGGCCCTGACTTTCCCTTTCTTTCTTCACCTCTCCCAGCTTCCTATGTCCCCAATGCAGAAGGAACGGGCGCCAGCCCGTCATGGATTCCATGAACCGAGAATCACCGAGTGTTTTTGCATTCAGGGCTTAGGGCTTCGGGTTTCCCCAGAATCAGAAGCCTTCAGCCAGGAGGGCAGTGGGCAGTGTTTGCATAATCTAGGGGCCTTAATCCATAGAACAGTGTTTTGGAGGGGTTATGATGTAGGTATTCTGACCCCCTTAGGTGCAGCCCTCATGCCCCCTGAAGATGCAGCCAAGACTCGCATGTGGATGCCTCGGGTGATGGAAGAGGGGGGGGGGTTTAGGGTTTAGGGTTTAGGGTTTGGGGTTTGGGGTTTGGGGTTTGGGGTTTGGGGTTTGGGGTTTGGGGTTCGGGGTTTGGGGTTTGGGGTTTAGGGGGTCCGAAAATGTTGATGCTCTTTGTTGGTTCCTATCATGCGGGTTTTCGTGTTCTGTGTAGCTTCTGGTGGAGCCTCCCCGATGTTCGGAAGATAGAACATGTATGGTGCACTAGCAAGTCGTGCTCCTCCAAACCCTGAACACCAAGACCGCCACGACCAACTTTGCAGGTTCCAAGACATCCTTGGGGTACCACATGAAACCTAAAAAAAGGATTATCTAATCTATACTACTATCATCCCTATTGACAGGATGTGGACCCTGCTAAACCCTTTAAGGATTCATTTAGTCCCAAACATGTTCAGCCTCCGGGCCACCACCTTTCAGCGTTTGGGGCAGCCCCAAACCCCAAACCCCAAACCCTAAACCCTAAACCAGGTTGCCCGTGACTCGCTGCTCCTGGTCAGCGTAGCCCATCATCACCACCTCCTGACATGAGGTAACCCTGAAGGGCCGAGGAGCCTTCACCCCACTTGCTCTAGCTACTTGGGGGTATCCGACATTAGGGATTACCTTACTGGGGTCTTATGATAAGGGAATACCACTATTTGGGGGGTCTATTTTCGGGGCCCGCCCCCACTTGTTGTGGTAAACCGAGAGCTCACCAGCCTCGAAACGTGAATCGTTAGCCCTGGTGTGTAAACGGAGGTGTTCCTTTCAGGTTTCCCGTAACCCCTGCTTGAAGGTTCATGGGTCACCAAAGCCCCTGCCCAAGACGCGAATAACCCGACCAAACCAAAACTGTTGGAGTCTTGCAGCTTGTTCACTGCGTCGTTCATGGCGCCCCTACTTAAACCTATTGGGTTTAGGGTTTAGTAGGGTTTAGGGTTTAGGGCCCAAAGTAATTGCCCTCCAACTTCACATTCCAGATGTAGGATGCTTCTAGGGGATTCTAGTTGCGCCGGACATGCCTTCACGCCGCCCCAACCCTTTCGCCTTCTTTAAAGAACCGCAAGCCTGCATTTTCGCAGGCCATTTGTACAAAACCCTAGTAGAGTCATTAGGATTCTTCTGATGTAACCTGCAACAAGGTTTCGGGGTTCTTAAGGTACAGTGCTCAACTTTAGGGTTTAGGGTTTAGGGTTTAGGGTTTAGGGTTTAGGGTTTAGGGTTAGGGTTTAGGGTTTAGGGTTGCACCCACTGCACAACTCTCGCATCAGAGTCTCCGCTGCAGGTCCGGTCACATCTGCGATGCCCACGCCTCGGAAAGGAGCAAATGCGGGCCCACACGGTTTAGGGTTTAGGGTTTAGGGTTTAGGGTTTAGGGTTGCATGTCAACGTTCAGAGGGTGCTTCAGTCTTCTTCGATCCTACACACACCACGCCAGGGACTCTCGTCGAGCCTGCTTGGGCAACGTGCGGCAGGTCTGCTAGGAGACAGTTTGTACCCTAATCCCTGAGCCTGCACCCCCGCCCACCCCCCGGGGAAAAAAAAAAACCTAAACCCTAAGCTACCCTAAGCCTGTCACCCAACCCTCCAGAGCAACTCTTCGGCCACATAGTCATCATAAACAGTGTCCTCTTACACCGAATAAAGGGGGCATGAAAAAACATTCCACGGGCCGATCGAGTTTCCTTTGTAGGCGGAGCCCCCGCAACCCCAAAAACCTGAACAAATGTGGGGGGCTACTTGGCCTAAACCCTAAACCCAAAACCCAAAACCCAAAACCCAAAACCCTAAACCCTAAACCCTAAACCCTCTCTCCGTCCCCCCCACAGCTCCCCCAAGCTGATCCGGGCACCCACGTGGTATTCGGTCTCGACGGCCGATGCGACGAAAAGCAGAGACCCGAGGAGCCAGGCCTGCATCCTGGAGAGAGGTTTAGGGTTTAGGGTTTAGGGTTTAGGGTTTAGGGTTTAGGGTGTAGGGTTTAGGGTTTAGGGTTTAGGGTTAGGGTTTAGGGTTTAGGGTTTAGGGTTTAGGGTTTAGGGTTTAGGGTTTAGGGTTTAGGGTTTAGGGTTTAGGGTTTAGGGTTTAGGGGCAGAGGGAGGGCAGAGGAGGCTTCTCAAGGTCTGGGGCTGAAGGGCTTTTTCGAGTTGGGGTTCAAGGGGTTTAGTTAGGCTTTTCGGGGCTTCGGGTGCTAGGGCTTCAATACGTTTATTATGAATGGTTGCAAATTCAGCTGTGGGTTGGGGACAGGTACCGGACAGTTGGGCCGTAAACCTATAAACCCTACACCGTCTACACAGGTAAACAAAAAAGGCGCCGCCCCCTCCTCCCCCCACCCACACCCCCCCCCCCCCAAAGTCGCCCTGAACTGTTTCCGCTTGGAGAAGCCCGAACCCTACGTCTTTTTGGATGTGATTTCTACAGGAACCCATTTTATAGGGTTTTAGGGATTAGGGTGTAGGGGATTCTGAGGTAACCTCAAGAGGCGGGATTTGAGGTTCTGAAGGTAGGGTCTTGGCATGACAAGCCATGGAATCACTCTATACGCGCCCTTTAAGGGATAACAAAAGCACGGGGGCATCAACCCTAAGCCCAGAACCCGAAACCCATGAACCCTAAACCTAGGAACCCGAAACCCTTGAACCCTAATCCCTCCAACCCTGAACCCTAAACCCTAACCCCCTGAACCCTAAACCCTTGAACAGGCAACCCTTGAACCCAACCCTTGAACCCTAAACCCTAATCCATGAACCCTAAGCCCTACCCCTAAACCCTAAACACTTGAACCATAAACCGTTGAACCCAAAACCCTAGAACCCTAGGGCCATAAACCCCAAACCCTAATCCCTTGAACCCTAAACCCTAAACCCTAGAACGCTAGGGCCGTAAACCCTAAATTCTAAACCCTTGAACCCTAAACCCTTAACCCTTGAACCCTAAACCCTTGAACCCTAAACCCCTTTGAACCCTAAACCCTTGAACCCTAAACCCTAAACCCCTTTGAACCCTAAACCCTTGAACCCTAAACCCCTTTGAACCCTAAACCCCTGAACCCTAAACCCTAAACCCCTTTGAACCCCCTTGAACCCTACATAAGATGGGATGCGCCTGGTCCAAGCCATCCTTGAGTGGAGGCCGTGGGGAAAGCTGGGAGCCAACGCTGCGAGGACCGAGGCCAGGAGTAGGGTTTAGGGTTTAGGGTTTAGGGTTTAGGGTTTAGGGTTTAGGGTTAAGGGTTTAGGGTTTAGGGTTAAGGGTTTTAGGAGGCGAACGCCGGGGTTTTGGGGCTTGAGGGTTCTTGGGTTCAGGGGATTTAGGGCTGTAGGGGCTTTCGGGGTTTTGGGGCTTAAGGATTCTGACATTGGGGGAATCATTGATACAATCCCTGTATAAACCCATCGTCTATCTGAGTCTACCTACTTCAGGGTCGAGCGCTGTGGCTGTGCGGGCGTCGGTGATTTGAGACCCTGACTTAAACCCCTAAGCCCTAAACCCTACACCCTGACCCCAGGTTTCATGGCGTGGGGGGGGGGGGGGGGGGAAGAGAAAAGCAAACACCCAGCCCCAGCTCAAGCACTACACCAGCAGAGCTCAGCATCGTTCCCGACCCCGAACTCTGAACTCAAGATGAGCTGCGAAAGCACACTGAAAATCCTGCCACCCAAACCATGCAGCCCTCTGAACCCGAATGCCCCCAAGCCTCAAAAAAAAGATCCCTAAGCCCCTCCTATGCGCGAAGCACTCGCTTCTGAAAGTCGAGAAAAGACGAGCCCGGTGTGACCTGGCGTTGCAGATCGCCTCACACGACCTGAAAGGCCGTTGAAGGGTAGATTTCAGTTTGCGAAAAGGCACAAAAGCCGGGCTTTTACAAAGATTTCTCAAAGTGTTGCGAGGCTGCCGGGACTTTGCAAGAGCCACCCCCATGCCCTAAACGGGGTTCAAGCTTCGGTGGCATTACAGGCCAACGAACAATATAGGCTCCTATAGGAGTCCAGATGCGAAGGCGAGAACCCTGGCCTTGAGCAGTCCTCTAAAGGCCTTCAAAAACCTCAAAAACCTCAATTCTGAATTCTGAAACGGCAACGAAGACCAGGAATCCCGCATCCAGTCTCCCTGAACTTGCTCTGTCATACTTTCAATTTGGCGTATTAGACTGTACTACTGTTATGTTATGAGTTTTTTCTTTAGGTTTACTAACAAACGATGAGCTCCCGGCGGAGTCTTGCCGATGCGGCAGCCACGCCGGCCGCCAGCGGTGGCACCTGGCGTAAAGCCCCGCAGACCCTGAACTCCCAAAGGAGCACCTTCTACACTCCCTGTTGAGGGATTGAAGACCCTAAACCCTAAACCCTAAACCCTAAACCCTAAACCCTAAACCCTAAACCCTACTAAACTTCCTGTTTCGGGTTAAAAATACCCGAAACCCTGAAGCCCTAAAGCCTGAACTTCCTTCTTAGGGTTGAAAACGCCCTGAACCCCAATTTTCCTGTTTAGGGTTGAGAACCGAGCCCTTAAACCCCAACCTGTTGAGGGTTTGAAAGCCCTAAACCCCTAAACCCTAGACTTCCTGTTTAGGGTTGCAAACCTAGCCCTTAAACCCCAACCTGTTGAGGGTTTGAAAGCCCTAAACCCCTAAACCCTAGACTTCCCTAAATCCCTAACCTTCCTTCCAGGGCCCCGCGCCACGGCGATGGCTCGGAATCCGCGGTGAGCGCGCAGGGAGGCGTCGAACTTGGCAAAGAAGCTTGTTGGGTTCATGTATCTGATTCCTAGAGGGATTTAGGGCTTACAGGGTGTTTATAGGGCAGATATTAGGTTTAGAAGGGTTCAATCGAGTGAATATGGGGATTTACGAAGATAAGGGACCCCTAATATAGGAGAAAATGGGGCCCCCACAGCCTGCCTTTCTGTCATATAGACTCTAAACCCTAAACCCTAAACCCTAAACCCTAAACCCTAAACCCTGGCTGTCCAGGTTCATGTTCAAGCTATTCCAGGCAGCTCCGGGGTGTTTAGGGGCCTTGCTTTAGGGTTTAGGGTTTAGGGTTTAGGGTTTAGGGTCAGGGGCGAGCGATAACCATGGCTGTACAAGAGCAGGTCTGGAGGATTGAGATTTGTGCCAGGTGAGGTGGCACCTCAAGTCTCCATATACCTCTCTTTATGTGTGTATATTATATATATTATATATATATATATATATATCGGCCTGAACCCTAAGCCCTGTAAATGCTAAACCTCCGAACCAAGTCAGTGGTAACTGTCAGCAGGCTGTGAGGAGCTCAACCGCGCTTTCAGTCCACTCTGCAAAACGGTTCTGTTATTGGATTATAGGGTCCGGCAATCTTAGGTTGCATCTGATGGGCCCCCTGCAAAGGCGGGGCTCTTCCGCAAAGCGTGCCGCGCTTCAAGGGAGGCCTTTCCGTTTAGGGTTTAGGGTTTGGGACGAGGGTTCAGGGTTTAGGGTTTAGGGTTTAGGGTGGTAACAGGTGGGATTTAAGGCTGAAGGGCTTCCTTTGGAGAGGACATGCACGCCACAAAGATGGGTCATCCGTCCGATGCAACTAGCAAGCCCTCTGAAGGTATGGACAAGACCCTTAAATGGGGTTCATGTAGCTCCAAAGGAATGGTCTTAGCGGCTGCAGGGGATGAACATTCTAGGGTGAGGTATCAAAGTGGCGATGCCTAAGGCGCAATGGGCTCTAACCCAACAACGTCCACTAAAGCTGACATCTACAGTTGCCTGAGAAGACCCACACAACCGCCGCAGAAAGGCCCGTCAAAGTTCCCTGTATATTGCATAAAAGTACATAGCTACATGCGGCTGACAGCTGCCAAGTAAGGACTTTTTGGGTGAGTATATAAGCAATTAAAGTTTCAGGAGCCCCAGAAAATGTCCGGCTTCTTCGGCTACAGGGTTGAAACGTGCGCACGGACGCCTCGCCATAGGCGACTGCCGCCGTAGTGGGCCGAAGTGGATGCCTCGCGCATCGGACAAAGCAACCAGCGGTGGCTCAGGGGTTTCGGTGGTCCGGCTGGGGGTCTCTATAGGGTGTAGGTTGGGATGTTCCCCCTTATACTAGCAGTCCTTTTTAGGGATTATAGTACCCCCTGGTATAATCCCGATTAAGGACTGTTAGTATAAGGGGGAGCATATCAAGGTTTAGGTTTATATAGGGTTTCCGTAGGGTTTATAGAGTTTAGGGTTTAGGGTATAGGAGTTCGGGCAAGCGAAAGCCGCGGCACTCCGAGTGAAATCTGCAGACGAGGCGCCTCCTCATGGCCATTGCTGACAGAGCACTCTCCCCAGGACTTCCTTCTGTCTTATGTCCTAAACTCCCCTCAGAACCCTTCATCAAAATCCCTTGAGTTTTGTATATAAACTATAAACGGCCATGAACTCTACCTCCTTCTCTACATCCCAAACCGAAATCGCAGACAACTGAGCTCCGCAGGCTTTGTGTCGGGACCTGGTTTTGGTACCTACCACAACCGTCCCGTCACGTACTGCATTTGGGCGGCAAGACCTCCTGATAGGCGTGCGCAAGGCTGTTGAGACCATTCTTTTGTGTGCCTAGCCGCCTGGGGTGTTTCACTGTGCATTCACCGCGGCGGAATGAGCCAGGAGCGTAGTACCTTGCCAGCTAGTGTGAAGGGATTGGGCTCCTACTTCAAGGATTGACGGCAAAAAAGATGTGAATCTAGGGCATCGGATTACGGGGATTTTTGGGGATGTATGCCCTCGGAATGGGGCCCCTGTGTAAGAGTGCCAGAAGAGGGTTAAGAAGGTTTCCCTTTTAAGGCCCCCCCCTTCTCCTACCTAGGAGAATGCAGGCAGCAGTCGGGCATCGAGCTCAAATGCTATGGTCTTTGCAACAGAGAAGACACTGAACTCAACAAGCTTGCTACGGACGTACAATATAGGGGTCGGAAGAATGACTAGTAGCATTCCCTCCTGGTCCCTATATACTTATACTATGACAACCCCGAAAACCCTGTTCAAATACTTAAGGCCCTTATATTACTGCAGAACTCTTCAGAAGTCGCTGCGCAAGGAACTTGCATTTGTCAGAGACTATAAGGATGTCGAGACCAGCGGGTTCTCAAGCTCGTTTCACTGCCAGGTCGGCGTTCGCTTACTTTGAAGGGCCATTTGGCAGCTTGGGGCTTAGCTTTAACAAAGTTTGGGGGTTTATTGATGAAGGTCAGATACATCCTAGGATTCCGAGGGGTTCAGGGTTGAGGGTCAGGTACAGCCTAGGAATACTCGCAGGGCCAGCATGCCGCCCTCGTCCGTCTGGCTTTTTCTCTGCCGTCGCCTGGTCTAAAGCGGCCCATGGCCTAAGGTGAGAAACCAAAGTGCTCGGGGGCGGGCCTGCCCTTCCATAACAAAGAGCCGGCCTCCCCCCCAAACCCATACCCGAGACCGGAAAGCCCCAAGGGCTCTGCTGGCTCAGGCTGTGCAAAAGGTGTCTTTCAGGATGTCGAAGAGCGCCAGATAAACCTTGCAAAGTGTGCCGGAGTGACTGGTTTCTGGGAGGGCTCAGCATGCTCATTGTAGAGTCTGGGAATGCTTGTGGGGTTCATTAAATGCTCTTGTCTTGGTTGCGCTTTAAAAACCTTTTTATGACAGGTTCCCTTGTAAGGATAGAAGGGAAATTAACAATTCTCCCAAAGCGCAACCCAGTCTTGGCTGGGCCAGCACGAGTTGCCGGGACAACCGGAGCCCTGCTTCAAGCCAGTCTGGCCAAACCCTAAACCCTAAACCCTAAACCCTAAACCCTAAACCCTAAACCCTAAACCTAAACCCTATGAATTTTGGACCCTCCCAAGTCCATGAGTCGGGTTGCGGCCGTCGCCGGGTTCGGAATGGTAAAAGGGTGCTTGCTTCTTCAGCGTCGCATCTTTGGTGCAATTCTAAACCCTCTAAGCGCTAGGGGTTTGTAGGGGCTTAGGGGCTTTCCGAGCTTCTTGAGGTTTAGGGTTGATCGTCTTGGGGGAGGGGTTTATAGGGCTTAAGGCTTCAAGGGATTTCAAGTCAGATCATTGATGCTCAGGCAAGCTGACGGCCTGGCATCTGCCTCGCCCCCCCCCTACAGCGGATGCTTGTGGACACAACTTTGAGGGTCATGGGGACCTTGGGGGCCAGATGAACCCCAAAGCTGGAAGCGAATAACCTAGACTACGAACTACGATCACCCCTATTTACCCTATTTAGGGTATATGGACCCTTAACCTTTCTTTGGGGTTCATCTATTCGTCAAGGGACTTTTGGAGTAAATGGAAATGAGATGCCGAGTCGGACCGACACCCAACGGCTGGGGCCATGCGACGCAGGGGGCGGATTTGGCAAAGTTTAGGGTTTAGGGTTTAGGGTATAGGGTTTAGGGTTTAGGGTTTGGGGTTTAGGGTATAGGGTTTAGGGTTTAGGGCTTACAGCGTAGCTTGCTAGAGTTTAGTTCGGTTGCGAGGAGTGTGCAGACAACAGGCATCCTGCCGCACAAGCAAAACCCGACAACCAAGGAATGAATCCAAACCCTATAAACCCTATAAACCCCATAAACCCTATAAACCCTATAAACCCCAACCCCTATAAACCTTATAAACCCTAAACCCTATAAACCCTCTAAACCCCATAAACCCTATAAACCCTACAAACCTTATAAACCCGATGAACCCTAATAACCCGATAAACACTATCAACCCTAAACCCTAAACCCTGAAACCTAACCCTAAACCCTATACCGAGGCCGGGACGGTGGTATTTGGCACGGTCTTCACCTCAAGGCTTCTAGGCGTCCCAGGTTGTGTGAAAGTCTACTACCTTGGGTTGGGGTTTAGGGTTTAGGGTTTAGGGCTTAGGGCTTAGGGCTTAGGGCTTAGGGCTTAGCGCGGCTCCCATCCACTTCTTTCGGGTTTCGGGTTTAGGGTTTGTTGCTGCAGGGTGCAGGGTCGGGGTTTCCACTGCCTTGGACACAAGGAGTTCTTGAGGCTTCGGACCCTTTAATTAGGTGTCGCGGTTCACTTTAGAAATTGCCATGCAAAGGTCAGCAGCCCTGAGAGCAGCGTCAACTGTTTCGCGCCGTATCGCGCTGCGTCAGACCTTGAACCGTAGACTTCATGCACAAAAACTCACAAACATCGGGATGTTGCAGTTTCGGACACTAGAAACACTGGAACTTCATCAGCACTAACTCTAGCTTCCTGAAAGGCTGCAGGAATGCATGTAGCTACAGCAAAAGATGCACATAGGGTGTCCAAGAAGTTGGACCCTCACTAGGTCAGAGACGTTGTTCCAGCCCTTCTAGCTTGTCAAGGTATTTGCATTCGCCCCCCACCCCACCCCCGGGCCCCCCACCCCCTTATATACCCCCAACAAAAAGTAGAACACAGGAACCCAGAAAGGGCACAGCCATCTTCGGAAACCCCATATCACTTCACTGCGCCACAATCTGTCTGGGGGAATGCCATTCAAATTCGTGACGACTTGAGTAGGGTTTGGTTTAGGAATAGTAGATCCCACCCTTTGCACCCACACACTCACCACCCACACACACACACAGAGTACACCCGGAGACTGTACTATAAGAACCCGAAAGCCCGAAACCTGCTGCTTCGTAGGTACGATGAAACCTTCTAGGATTCCTATAGGCAACCTACAACAAATCGCAGGATTTGGCGTTCTTCAGGTGGTGATTTCCTTAAATTCTGGTCCTTTTTTGGGGTCCTCATTCTAAGGCGGCCCCTCTTATCTAGGGTACCCACAAAAGGGACCCGAATTTTGAGGGAAAGTGTTGAAGGCTTGAAGGCCTCCTGAAGAACCATCCTCGTGGTTCGTGAACCACCTCCTGGGCCCCACGGCATAGTTCAGCGCACATCCGCGGTAGAGGCCACGCACCACGCCCTCCTGCGAAAAAAAACCCCGGAGTCTCTGAGATCCTGGAGTGCATGTCCTCTTCAACCCCCACAAGCTAGGGTTTAGGGTTAAGGGTTAAGGGTTTAGGGTTTAGGGGTCCCTACATTCCCAACCGCTGCCAGACACTGGAAAATGAAGGGAAGGGAGCATTTCTAGGAGGTGGGCACTGGCGGAACCTGCTGACCCCTGCATCTGCAAGGCCTGCAAGGACTACCATCTCCCTGCGAGTCACAAAACAGCGGCAGTGAGAGGCTGCCGAAACCGAGAGCCCCAGGCCTCTTTGTACAAGGTCCACAGGCCTCGTATACTTCCAGGATACTTCTCCTGACAGAGGAGCCAGCTGAACAGGTGCCATGCCCTACCCAGGGCTCCTCGTATTTACTATACTACTTGCTTAAGAACCCCGAAAAAACACAAGTATTCTTCCTTATTAAGGGTGATACAGGGATTACTATTCTTTTTTCTTTTGGGGTTCTTAAGCAAATACTAGTTTTTTACCAGGCTTTGGGGGCTCTGAGGGCTCTGTTGGCTTCGGGGATCCGCCTTCATGGCCGCTCCGCCCGTCTGCAGACGCCGCCGCCTCAGAAACCCCAGATCCATGGACCCACACCCCGAGCAGTTTAGGGTTTGTGGGGTTTAGTGTTTAGGGTTTGGGGCTCATCCCCCAGTGGATGAAGTATTAATTCAGGGAGTAATTGCCAGTTCACCAGAAAGGCTGATGCTGTGCGGATCATATTGTGGGGTGTAGAAGTTGGGATGTTCTCCCTTATGGCAACAAACCGTCCATAGTAGGGAATATACTACCCCCTACTAGAACCCCCATTAAGGAGCTGTTAGTATACGAACAGTCCTTAATAGGGATTATACTACCCCCCTACTAGAATCCCTGTTAAGGAGCTGTTAGTATAAGGGGGAACATCCCAAGGTGTATAAGCAAAGGCTGAAGCATGGCGTGCAAGTGCCCAAGCGCCGAACAAAACATCGAAGGGGTAGACAAAGGTCTGTGCCTGGCGGCATCGGGGCTCCCCCACCCAAAAAACCACAAATAAACCAAAAAAAAAAAAACAAATATATATATATATATATATACATATGTGTAATTATGTATTTGTGTATTTAAAAAGGCCATGTGCCTTTGAGCCGATCATCTAAGCCTACTTCCCATCAACAGGATAGTGGGCGAGGAGTTCAAATGGCAGCTACCCGGCGAGAGGGGGGCAGGGGCCTAAGTTGAAGTGAAGTTATTGTAAGATTACACTTTTTGGGGTTGGTTGCTATAAGGGAACCCAGAACCAACAAAAAGGGTAAAAAGGGTACCACTGGGCTGCTAGGTATACCAGTTTCGACATAGCTCAATCGAGGGCTTCCGGACCTTATTGGGGTCCTTTTTTTTGGGGACCCTACTATTTGGGGATCTATATTGGGGTCCCGAATTTTCGTAAACCTCCACCCTAAACCCTAAACCCTAAACCAACCCTAAACCCTAAGCCCTAAGCTCTAAGCCCTAAACTTACCCTAAACCCTAAACCAATCCAAAAGCTCCGAAGCCCCACTCCAACTGCCAAAGCCGAGGGGCGAGGACGCCGGCCACGCCCCCACTCAGCGCGCGGTGCAGCGCCGAGGGCGGCCCATCCTCCGAAGAGGATATAGGGTTAGAGTTTTAGGGGTTAGGGTTTATAGGGTTTAGGGTTTATGGTTTAGGGTTAGGGTTTAGGGTTTAGGGTTAGGGTTTAGGGTTTAGGGTGTAGGGTTGAGGGTTGAGGGTTTAGGGTTTAGGGGTTAGGGTTTAGGGTTTAGGGTTAGGATTTAGGGTTTAGGGTAGGGATGTTTGGGTGCCCAAGGGTTTTGGGGCTTTGGGGTTTTGGGTCGTTGGGTGGCTTTTGGGTGTTTGGGTTTCGGGTTGTTTGTGGGTTTGGGGGGTTTAGGGCCCTAAACCCTAAACCCTAAACCCTAAACCCTAAACCCGAAACCCTAAACTCTAAGGTTTAGGAGCTTCTTGGGTAGCTTGCGGGGCAGGGGCTGCAACATCCGCAGTTGGCCGAGCCCTCTTGGGAGGTCTTTAGGAAACCCTAAACCCTAAACCCTAAACCCTAAACCCTAAACCCTAAACCCTAAACCCTAAACCCTAAACCCTAAACCATAGCTGTGCTGGGAACCCTCAAAAAACCTCAAGCTCGTATCTACACAGCCCAGACAATCTCTCCTTGGATCCCCTAAAAACATCACATCTACGATCTCCCCTTAAACTATGCATGACACCTAATTCCACGAAAACTACAGCTATCATGGTCTCTGGGCATGCATGCAGTAAGTTGTGATGTTGCTCTCGACGTTCCACTATAGCGGCAACTGCTACGAGTAATAGTATTCCTTTATTGGTCCCCATGTAATTATACTACCCCAAGCCCTAAACCCTAAACCCTGTTTTAGTTCTGACGGCCCCCTATACTACGAGAGCCTGCGGTCGGGTCTCCGTCTAGGCCAGGCCTGCCCGGATTCCGCACATCTATCGGACATCCCGGTAACCCTAAACCCTAAACCCTAAACCCTAAACCCTAAACCCTAAACCCTAAACCCTAAACCCTAAACCCTACCTGAACCCCCCAACAGCCCCCAACCAAAAAAACACAAAAACAGCCTAAACCCTGTACCCTGAACCCCTACAACCCCAAACCCCTAAACCCTAGCCACCATATACCCCTAAACCCTATTCGCTATACCCTAAATCCCTAAACCCTAAACCCCCAAACACTATGTATCCCTAAATCCCTAAACCCTGAAAAAACCCTATACAAGCTTCAAGACCCCCTAGATCCCTAAACCCTAAAACCCCAAACACTATGTATCCCTAAACCCCTAAACCCTGAAAAAAACCCTATATAAGCTTCAAGACCCCGAACGCCAAAGTTTGCCGTCGCGGGGCAGGGTCGGGCAGGAGATATCTCCGGCACCAGTCCTGGCTTCGAAAAAGGGCTTGAAAAGGGATTGGGGTTTAGGGTTTAGGGTTTAGGGTTTAGGGTTTAGGGTTTAGGGTTTAGGGTTTAGGGTTTAGGGTTTAGGGTTTAGGGTTTAGGGTTTAGGGTTTAGGGTTTAGGGTTTAGGAGTTAGGGTTTAGGGTTTAGGGTTTAGGGTTTAGGGTTTAGGGTTTAGGGTTTAGGGTTTAGGGTTTAGTATTTAGGGTTTAGGGTTTAGGGTTTAGGGTTCTTGTGGCTTGGTGGTTGAACCCCAAGCCTTAACTCTAGAAACCCTACAAAGCCCTGGGAACCCCACAAAACCCACCCCGAACCTGTTGCTTCAGGGGCCTTGGGGTTTTACAGGGTTCAGGAGATCTTGCCGATTCTTTTGGTCCTGGGGTTTGGGGTTCTAGGGTTTAGGGTTGGAGCGCAGGCTTCATGGCTTGGTGTTCTGGATATCTTGGCGCTTTTTGGAAATCCTGGAAATACATAAGCTCACACATGCACAAATACAAGAATGCAAATGGCAAATACAATACCGAAATACAGAAACACAAAACGCACATGAACACATACCATATACGGCGCGCATATTCGTGGTCCCTCTTGGTTCACTTATTGAGTGCTACAAGGATACCAGCAAACGTTGCTCAACTCTTTTCTATTCGCGCTTGAATCTTCTTCATTTTCCTGATGAAACTTCTTCACGACGTTTACAGCAAAAGGCCGCCTGCACAGGCAAGGAAACAAAGCCAACGGGAGTTTTCCTTGCCGCGGCCAAGCGCATTCTTTGGAAACTTGAACATTGGGGGGGGGAGGGGGGGGTCTCGCGGCCCTGCCGGAAGCTCCGAGTCTACTCAATAGATGCGCTCCGGCTGCAGGCCCCAAATTCGAACAAACGTCTTTGCGGCATGGAGCAAGACGCTCAAAGCTAAACACATACAACACACCTTGCGAGATATGAGAAAGGACACACGGTCAACACCTCCTGCCCCCCCATCCCCCTGCCGAACACACGCGATCCTTGGGGAACGAAAATGGCCCACATACCTTGACAGGGATCGTAGTTCGTAGTATTGGGTAGATGATACCATTTCAAGGGTTCTTATGTTCCCCCCCCCCCCCCCCCATGGATATGGAGGGCCCCCCCCCGGCCTTGCAACCGTCGTAGGTGGCGAATTTCAATCCACAGTAGATAGCTGCGCCGGTCATGGACACCTTTGAAGGGGACAGGATTTTGGGGACCCTTGGGGATATAGACCCTCTGAATAAGGTCCCTGTTTAAGAGAGCCAGAAGAGTGTTCAGAAGGGTTCCCTTTTTAAGGGTCCCCCTTATCCTACCTAGGTACTATGCACACCAAGAGGAGGGTGCTTTGATTTGACAGCTCCGGCCCTGATGGCCTTACAACCCGACTCCACACCCAAACTGCCTGCAACCTCTCGAAAATCCCTAAACCCTATAAACCCTATAAACCCCATAAACCCCATAAACCCCATAAACCCCATAAACCCCATAAACCCTAAACCCTAAACCCTAAACACTAACCTAAACTCTATAAACCCTATGAAATTTCCCGCAACCCTGAGCCCCCCCCCCCCCCCCCCCTGGGGAGCCGACTCCCGCTCCGGAGTAGAGGGCGCGGATGCCGGCCTCCCAGCTGCGTTCCAATTCACGTCTCAGCGGTTCTTTTTGTTTGCAGGGTCTAGGGTTTATAGGGTATAGGGTATAGGGTATAGGGTATAGGGTATAGGGTTTAGGGTTTAGGGTTTAGGGCTAGGGTCTATAAGATTTTAGGGTTTAGGGTTCGGGAAGGGGTTAATGTGTAGGGCTAGCACGGGTAAGCTGAACACCTTCGCATGCAGACTTGCCCAAAATTCTGATTTCCATTGTCTATACGTCCTTCGCAAGGCATCTTATGGGGGATTCGATTCCAAATCAGGGTTTAGGGTTTTAGGGGGATTTGGGGGATTTGCGTGTTTCCGAAAGTAGAGGTACCTTCTTGGGGTCCTTACGATAAAGGAATCCTACTGTTTGGGGGGGGTCTGTATTCGGGGCCCCCTATTTTCACAAACTCCCTTGTAGCAACAGGGCAAGGCGCCGGGGAGGCATGTAAGTTGCAAGCCCGAAGCACATCATCATATGCGGAGCTGTGGCGAACAATCGGCGTGGCTTGAGTTCGGCAGGCTCGGGTCTGTTTCGTTCTGAGTGTTTGGGGCAGTCTAGGGCCGAGGGGCACCCTTAGACTTCGTGGGGCCTTCAATAAGGCTTTGAGGGGGCCTTGTCTGGGGATATTGACAAACATCAGTGATGATCGGCGAGCTGGGTGACCCGTGAGCTGAGGCTGCCAGGCTCTGGCTCTGCAGGATCTCGCTCGACAACGCCCGCCTTCCCAAGTACCAGTCCAATCCGGCCAAGGAACGCACCCGTGATGCACGAAAGGAAGGAGACATGCCATCTTTTTTCCATCTCTGTCACATGGTCCGGGTCAATGTTCCCAGTTTCCATCTTCGCGTTGCCCGTCTGACTGAGCCAAGAGTGGGGAGGGCGACTCCATCACCGTAGCCTGGAGTATAGTTTTCAGTCTACCCCTATAACCCTAAACCCTAAACCCTAAACCCTCTGGATGTCAGGCATGTGCTTGCTTCCAGCCATCTCTGCCTGCATCGCCTCCGAGCCTTCTAGACTTACGGATGGCAGGCACGGCTTAAACTGAGGGGCTGAATACCCGAGCCAAAAAGGTTTAGGGTTTAGGGTTTAGGGTTTAGGGTTTAGGGTTCAGGGTTTAGGGTTTATAACCAAAAAGCTTAAAGGTTACCTACCCAGTCCCTAAGTAAAGAAGCTCACCGCGCCTCTCGCCACACATCGCGGACAGTGCCGAACATGGACCTAAGGCAGTTGATCTCAGGGTTTGGGTTTAGGGTTTAGGGTTTAGGGTTTAGGGTTTAGGGTTTAGGGTTTAGGGTTTAGGGTTTAGGGTTTAGGGTTTAGGGTTTAGGGTTTAGAGTTTAGGGTTTAGGGTTTGGGTTTAGGGTTTAGGGTTTAGGGTACGTTTCGGGTTTATAGGGTTAGGGGCTTTTGTTGGGCCAAATCGACAAAGCCTGCGAGATGCGCGAATTTTTCATTGCTACCCGCCTACCGAAACGATCCATGGTCAAACCTTTTTCCACCTCCGCAACGGATGATAGACAGGGTAGAATGATAGAATGGAGGACTGATAGAATGATAGAATGATAGAATAGTAAAGACAAGAAAATCACAATTCCATGATCACATAGGCTAGCATGCTCGGCCGTGCCGGATCTAAAGCTGGAATGGAAGCAGTGCAACTCTTCGCTCCACGCTTCCCAGGACGCCCCGGGAACTCTCAAAACCTAGACCCACGAAACCCTAAACTGTACCCTAAACCCTGAACCCTAACTGTACCCTAAACCCTAAAACCCTAAAACCCTGAAACCCTGAAACCCTGAAACCCTGAAACCCTGAAACCCTAAAACCCTAAAACCCTAAAACCCAAAAACCCAAAAACCCAAAAACCCTAAAACCCTAAAACCCTAAAACCCTAAAACCCAAAAACCCAAAAACCCTAAAACCCTAAATAAAACCCTAAAACCCTAAAACCCTAAAACCCTAAACCCTAAACCCTAAACCCTAGGCGGCCGGCGGCACTTCTTTGGCGCCCTGCTCGATCAACAAAGCCTCGATGAACCCTAGAGACCCTCCTCGTGGGGCATGAGCGGTTTAGGGTTTAGGGTTTAGGGTTTTAGGGTTTAGGGTTTAGGGTCCGTATACTAAGAGGGTTTCTGGTTCCGTATAGGGTTCTGGATCCGTGTTGCCGTAATGCAGGGTTGCTGATCCCATTCTCAGGGTTCAGTTGGTCCCCCCAGGGCTAAAGCCCTTAAAACATCTTAAAACCCTAGAGGCCATGTTCCGGCTTGGGTACGGAGGGCTCGCTGCAATTTGTTTTAAGTCTACAGAGCCTCGGGGAGGGGATGTGTAGTCGAGTGTACGTAGGTTTCTTGTGCCTTCATCACCCTAAATCCTAAACCCTAAACCCTAAACCCTAAGCCCAAAACCCTAAGGAGGCTCAATCCCTCATCTAGGAGGGCACTCTAACAAAAAGTCCGAGGAACCATACGCGCTCTCGCCAGGTCGAGCGGATACGTGCAGAACACGGCCGTCATCCCGGCGCCGCCTACGAGCAGATTTAGGGTTTAGGGGTTTAGGGGTTTAGGGGTTTAGGGGTTTAGGGGTTTAGGGGTTTAGGGGTTTAGAGGTGTAGGGTTTAGGGGCTTAGGGGTTTAGGGGCTAGGGTTTAGGCTTTAGGGTTTAAGGGTTCTGTGTGGCCGAGGTCTGGCAAAGACTTGACACCCCTGGAAGCTCTGGACTGTATAGGTTTTAAGGACCTTCCCGTCTTTCAACCTCACTCCGAACCTCTCCGAACCACCTCAAGCCTCGTCCCTGATGCCAACTTGTTATCCGAGAGTGTACGTCAGCATACCAGGATGGGCTATTAGGCCCTATAATCCCCCAAACCCTAAACCCTAAACCCTAAACCTATACAGGGCCTTTTTTTGAGGGTTATAGGGCCTAAGAGCCCATCCCGGTAAGCTTGCTTGAGCAGCACGAGCGATGAGAAGCCCGCCTCCGGCGAAGAATTTCTGCACCTGCCAGCTCTTCCGCGGTGCAAACAGGTCTGAGGCTTGGGGCGCTGATCTGCCAAGGAGGCTTCTGTACCTCCAGAAACATCCGCCAATATCTCCTCTACTTGGCTTCGTCCATTGCGTAATCCCGGAGTCTGTCCTTTCCCCACCGCAGTCCCCAGAAAGGGACGTCTTAACTTCTGTCCCAAGGGGGTGCCCTCTCCTGCGTAGAATAGCAGCCCCTTGCAGTAAGTACTCTCCTCAGCACGTGCTATGGTAGACCCTAAACCCTAAACCCTAAATGGCAGAGGGGGTAGAAAAAAACAAAACACCTCAAGGCCGGAAATCCCGAAGCCCCAGAAAGCTGCCTCAGGAGCCATGGACGGCAGCACCGCGGTGCCTCAGGGTTTAGGGTTATGGGGTTTGGGGTTTGGGGTTTGGGGTTTGGGGTTTAGGGTTTAGGGTTTAGGGTTTAGGGTTCGGGTTTAGCCTGTAGGCGGAACAGGTTCCCGAGCAAAGCACGAGCGCTTCAGTGCAGGCGCAGCCGTTTGCAGGAATACCACCCCCTTGCAGCCCAGCGCTTGCCGACCTACGTGTAGCTGCCGTAAGCATCGGCTGCAACACGAGGAGACTCCCTCAACTGGATTTAGGGTTGAGGGTTGTGCTGCTCAGTCCGTCATTTCTGTTTTTGTTGCTGTTGAATATGTATATAAATATATGTATATATACATATATTCATACATATATATATATGAATATATATATATATATATATATATATATTTTTTTTTTTTTTTTTTTTTTTGGGGGGGGGGGGGGGGTTGGGGACACTGGAAAAAGCATCTCCGGGCTCCTGGGAGCCCCGCTGCCCGTGCTCATCCTGCGCAGCTCGCGGCGGAAGAGCCTGGAAAGGGGGTTTAGGGTTTAGGGTTTATGGTTTAGGGTTTAGGGTTGGGAGCTCTGCGTGGGCTGTGTGGGGCCGAAGGGACCGATGCTGAGCCTGAACATTGAAGCCTTTTAACGCAACACACACACACACACATGCGCAGACACAGACAAACAAAACAAACGCCGGGTAGAAGCATGCATTCAGAGGCCACATGTACGCGTGATTTCTTGTCCCGAAGGCACAAGCCCCTAGCCATCAACCCTAAGCCCTAAACCCTTAACCCGAAACCCTAAACCCTAAACCCCAAACCCCAAACCCTAAACCCAAAAAGAGCCCGCAGCTCTGCCGAGGCAAGCGCTCGTTCGATGCCAGCTGCACTCCAAGGTAAGGGAAAACCTCGTCTGAACCCCGCAGAACGAGGAAGCGCCCCTCTACGATTAGCTTAAGAAACCACCCGCCCCCCCAACAAAAATGAACAAAAACAATCCATATTAAGGAAGAATATATATTTTTTTTCTTTTGGGGTGGTCTTAAGCAATTCGTAGCAGCCACAGTCTACCTGAACGAGGATGGCCCTCAAAGCCCTCTGGAAGAATATTCCTGAATGTGACCCTCCTAAACCCAATAGGGGGAAAATACAAAATCTCCCAAAGGAGCTAAGAACCAAACATAAACTTCTTTTTTTTTTGGGGGGGGGGGTTTCCTAAGCATCCGATGAGGGGTCGTACACGAATAGCCTACAACCTACGGCAGGTTTTGGGTTAAGGCAAACAACAGACAATGGCACCTTAGTGGTTGAGAGGGCGTTGAACCTCCCACCCTCTCGAAGGTCAATTTTTGGGGGGCGTCAGACGACAGGATTTCTATAGAGTGGCAGATCATAAGCTTTGGATGGGTCGGGGTCTCTGCGTGTGAAGTATAAGAGATCGGCGCTCTGGGCCGTGATCCTTCTTCGCGCGATCATCGCGTGGGGCCAGCGCTTGTCCAGCATGCAGTTCCTCCTGTCACTATTGTGAGAAGCTGCTGAGCCAATGAGAGTGGATTCCCTTGAGTCTAACTGTAAGCCTCGAGGCCCTCAGAAAGTATATGCTTAGTGCAACCGCCGCCCTGAAGTCCTCAAGTGCCAGTGCATGACTACTAAGCCTTCGGCACGGAGCACAGCAACAGAGTTGCCCTTCCAGAAAGCCGTGACAGCACGCACGCCTCTGCGATTGAGGCGGGTAGGGCGGCAATGTTTGGGGACTTTAGATCTACCCTTTGCCGTTGTTTATGGTCCATATTACTATTACCTTACTGGATTGTCGTAGTATAGCCCCTGGGATCCTCCCAGGTCCTCAAGAACAAGGAAGATGAGAGGCAAGTATCGTATTGCGTGTGGATCTGGGTGAATGATGCTCTCTGGCTTTCCTGCAGATGTGAAAAGTTCCGCGTTGCTTCAGGTACTTCATGGGGGGCTGATGAATCCAATGCCCAACTCAGTGCCTCCTTCACTCTCGTCCACAACCTTGCGGATAATTCGCAGCCAGCCCTGGCGGAAGAAGCTGCAGATTTGTTGCACACATGGGGGGGGGGGGGGGGGTTCCGAAACCGGGGGACCCCCTAATTTCTAATCCCCCACATCCCCCTAAACCATAAACCCGAACGCTATACATTTCTACAGCCCGAAATCACCAAAAGCGGCAACTCCCAGCTGGCCCGGCTAAACTGGGGAGTTCGTTGCAATGGCGCGCGGTTTAGGGTTTATAGGGTTTAGGGAACTCTCCGTGTGAAAATTTCAATGGCGCTGGCACCACCACTTGCAACAAAAAAGGTGTAGAACGATCCCTCATCCATCCGAACGCCTCACCCCTGAGTCCTTCCTTCACCGAAGCCCCAAATCTCAAAACCCTAAACCCGGAACCCAGGAACAAATTGGCTTGGATCCAACCTCCCTAACTCCTAAGCCCTCAGCCCTACACCCTACACCCTAAGCCCTAAGCCCTAAACCCCTGGAGGCTCCTCATGGCCCAGCCCCGCTGCACATGCCGGACATGCCGTCTGACTCTTGGAGTTGATCTGGTAAATGATTTTGATCTTGGCCAAGGCGGGTTTAGGGTTTAGGGCTTAGGGCTTCGGGTTTGGGGTTTTAGGGTTTCGAGCTTAGGGTTTAGGGCTAAGGGTCTAGGAGTCTAGGAGTCGAGGAGTCAAGGAGTCGAGGGTTTGGGGTTTAGAATCGGGCTTAGGGTTGGAGATTATCTGGAGGGGGGTGGGGGCGGGGAGGGACCGCTCCAAAAATGATGGGGCTTGTTTGGCGGGGTCTCTGTTCGAGAGCTCAGTGCACCAGCGCGCACAAGATTGACCAACCCTTAGTCCATATACTGTAGCTCGGCTCGCCTAAACAAGGTGCTACATCGGCGCACCTCTTTCGGAGAAATGCTAGGGGTGCCCAATTTTGGGGGACATGTCCATTTAGGGCTTCTACGGACCAGATAACTTGGGCACATGAAATCCTCAGCCCCAAACTGACCTCGAAGCCTGTCTCAGGGGTTCTTGCCCGCTCGACCGGTGCGATGACGGTCCGTGCGACCTCAGGTGACCGTGTCTGTGTTGGCAAAGCGTATGATCAAGGCAGTCGGGTGTCGTACGTGACCTGTTGTGTGTGTGTGTGTGTGTGTGTGTGTGTGTGTGTGTGTGTGGGTGGTTGTGTGGGTGGTTGTGTGGGTGGTTGTGTGGGTGGTTGTGTGGGTGGTTGTGTGGGTGGTTGTGTGTGTGGTTGTGTGTGTGGTTGTGTGTGTGGTTGTGTGTGTGGTTGTGTGTGTGTGGTTGTGTGTGTGGTTGTGGTTGTGGTTGTGGTTGTGGTTGTGGTTGTGGTTGTGGTTGTGGTTGTGGTTGTGGTTGTGGTTGTGGTTGTGGTTGTGGTTGTGGTTGTGGTTTTGGTTGTGGTTGTGGTTGTGGTTGTGGTTGTGGTTGTGTGTGTGTGTGTGTGTTTGTTTGTTTGTTTGTGTGTTTGTGTGTTTGTGTGTTTGTGTGTGTGTGTGTCTCTGTGTGTGTGTGTGTTTTTTGTGTTTTGTAGGGGATGAGTCCGGGTGTGTTCTAGGGCCGGGAGCTTTTTTGTGCTAGGTGCTCCCTCTGCTAGTCTCTAGGCTCTTCGCTTTTCCAATCTCTGAAGTTCTGAAGTACCCGTACATTGCATCCAACACTTCGGATTCTGAATTTTTTTGCAACAAGGGACCCGGCAAACAACCCTAGCATCTGTACCAGGAGCCCTAAACCCTAAACCCTAAACCCTAGAACCCCTAGAACCCCTAGAACCCTAGAACCCTAGAACCCTAGAACCCTAGAACCCTAGAACCCCTAGAACCCTAGAACCCTAGAACCCTAGAACCCTAGAACCCTAAAGCAGCAAGCATGAAGCCGGCGCCGCGAGTCAGAGTGGCCTGGAAAAGGCCCGGGCCATTCCAGCAACTCCACCGCACACCTTTGCTCTCCGGAAGCTAGAACGCAAAATATAAGTATGAGTATACGTATAAGCATATGTATCAGTATACTTTTATGTTCGTGTTAGTGTCTGTGTCCGTGTGCGTGTTCGTGTTCGTGTTAACATAACGAAACACCAGCACACACACACGCCAAGCCCTCTTTACGAACGGTGTCATTGGCTCTCGAGATTACACGGCGCAGCCGCGCACCAGACTTGATCCTGACCTCAGCCCATCTCTCTCTTATACCAGGCACGATACCATGGGGGTCCTAAACCCTAAACCCTAAACCCTAAACCCTAAACCCTGATACGCCGAAGAACTTCACCGGATTATGTTTGACCTGCACTTGGGCTCATTAACACCCAGCTCGACCTCTAGCACGCGGAAGCTAGACCCAAGAGTAACCTAGGTATACAAACTGGGTGCCCTTTTTGCTCTAAAGGGGATGAAAAGGTTAAACCCTAACAAACAGGGAGTAAGGGCCTACTCCGGGTCCTAGGAAGGGGTTCTAGTAGGCCTGCGGGGACCTACAGGGTTTGACGCTTTTGGGCCAACACCAAAACGGAATTGAAGTGATGCTGCGCGCCGAGTGGCAAAATGCTCGGCGGTCCTCCGCCATTCCCCCATGGCTTCAGGAATGCACGCAGAATGATAACAATTTAGCTCGAACCCGATTGCTATTGTCATGAAAAAAACTATTCTGATGTTGCAGGGCTGTGTCTCTGTGCGTGCGTTGACGGCCCAAGAATTGCTTGCAGTTCTTGCCGAATTTGCAGGGCTCAGCGACTCAGCGGCTACGGCTGCTGTCGATGACTTGTTTTGGCTGGTTTGGGGGGGTGCGTCGCTCACGTACTTGCCAAGTGATCGGGATGTTTTTGAACACAAGCTTCAGGGTTGAGGGCAAGCAAGTCGTGCTCATGTCAGCGATTAGTGCGGGCCCTGCCCTTGAAGCCTTGAAGAAGGACCAGAACGGCTTGAGAGAGATTTGATCAACAGCCGCAGTCTCATGCTCGGTATGAACCCAGCTGAGATTCGCTGATGCGGAACTAGGAAGCCCAGGTCACAGGGTTAAAGGGTTGAGCTTCAGGGGGTTACTCGGGCCTTTTGCTGGACAGGGCTCATCAAATATACAATATCTAATATATGTATCTATGTATATATACATATATATATATAATCCCTTCCCCCTAATACTAAACCCCCCCCCCCTAAATTTAAATATCATTTTTCCCGGACCCTCCCGGCACCCAGCCCAATACTAAACCTGTTGGAGAATTAGGCGGGGGAGGGGTTCAGGGCCTTCGCCCTTGAGTTGAGCCATTAGGGTTTCAAGGTTTAGGGCTGAAGGCTGACAGGATTAGGATCCAGGGCTCAGGGCTTGGAGGGTTTAATTTAATCATTAGGTTTCGGAATTCAGGTTTTAGGATTTAGACCCCCCCTAATTTTAAATATTTTTCGGGCCCAGGCGAATTTTAGAATTAGGGAAGGGGGGGGGACGGATTTAGTATTTGGGGGAATGGATTATATATGTGTATATAGTATATGCAGGTCGCGCGAAGAGGATCCATGCAACTGGGTAGGGATGCTTAGGACGTTGAAAGCATGCCAGGCGTGCCCTCTTCCAGCCCAAGGTCGTGCTTGATGTTCTGTTGGTGTGTAGTTTTTGAGAGGCTTTGCAATTGAAAATGCGGATCGTTGCTGTGAGGGGAGGGGTTCCCAGTCTATAGTATAGGGATCCAGTATCTAACGCTGATGTTGTCTTTGATGCGCCGGCGCCTACAAGGCTTCACTAAGGCTTCTAAGGGCAAAGAATCTGCAAGAGCTGACGCTGTGAGATTCTCTGCGAGACGTCATCCCACTCAGCACTTGACGTGCCGTGGTCCGGGCTGCCGCTGCACATCCCCGCTGGAGTCGAGGACAGCTGTCAGCCGGACTCAACCAGGGCGGAGGAACAAGTATATGTGTATCCGCCAATGCGGAGTTTTCGCCATATCGGACTGCAAGGCATTGCACAGCCACGTCTCTAGGCCTTGACGGCGAGCCTCCAGCAAAGGCCCGGCACATGGTACGAGAAAGTGCCTGGGTGGAAATGGGGTATTTGGAAAGGACCATGCGTCTGCACCAAGTGTCATCGCGAGCGACCGAAATTCAGAATAACGCCGCTGCACGCTCCACTGGATGCAAGCAGGCGGCATCCGAACGGTGATCTCAAAGTATGTGATGGGACTATTCCCACCCTGCTCGGATATGTGGGCCGGTTCCCTGATCACAATCTGATGTGCTGGCAAGCTGATATGGAAGTCCAGCGACCCTACCAGAGATGTGCTTGGCTCAAGCGGAAGCTGCAGCAGGTCGACGATTTCTTGCGCGTGGCCTTTGGCTTCCACGTTTGAGTCACTCAAGTCGGGGCTTCCGATGATCCAGTCCACCAGAGTGTCAGCCAAGCTACGGGGCTCAGGCAAGAAGTGGAGAAAATCCATCACATTCCAAGCGTGACCGGCCTGCCCGATGCTATCAAAGCTTGGCTCAAAAGCAGCCCTCCGAGTTCTTCGAGCCAGGTCCGCCAAGTAACGCAAGGCCGCCCTCCGCACTTTTGGGGGACAGTCCTCCGGGAGGCTGCCCAAAATCCCCATGGCCTGCTGTGGCTCCGCAATGTCGCAGAAGGCTTGCGCGGCGTACTCCCCCACCCTTGCGTAGCTGTAGCGGAAGCACGCGATCAGGGCGCTGCAGGCATCGGGATCCCCGCGCTTGGCAACCTTGGACAGCACCTTGATGGCAGCCTCCCTCTCGCCCGTGACTCCTACAGCAACGTGCTGGCAGGCAAGCTGAACACTTCGCTTGCCTCCTCGATGCCCATTGATCCCCCAGGTGGCACAAGGCGCTGATGCGATCCTCAACCGATCCACGGAGCTGCTCCTCCACGGCGTGAAAGGACAGCGTGAGCTGGTAGCTCGGCACAGACGCATCCAAGACCTCGAGGTGCTGGAAGGCAGCGGGAATCGACAGCTCCTCGGCGATCTTCTCTTCAAGCTCTTCAGCTGCTTTTGTGGCGTCAGTGATGTGGAAGGTCCATCCTTCGCCTGCCAACGAGTGCACCTGCACCGGAATCATCGTCGAGGCGCGGTGCGGTGTGGATCGGATCCGAGTTTTTAGGGTTTAGGGTTTTGGGTTTAGGGTATAGGGTATAGGGTTTAGGGTTTAGGGTTTACTGTGGCACGGGCTGAAGGAGTCGATACCAGGACCAGCTCATACCCAAACAGCTGGAGCTGGGGGGGGGGGGGGGGTTTCTTTCGGTAATTTTGTTGAAAGAAGGCTGTCTGTGTCCGAGTGTGCCTTAGGGGGCTTTGGGGGTTTGGGGGGAATCCATGGACGCAACTTGGACATCCAGAGGGGCTGGTCGCATTGTTGCTATAAGCTAGAACTATGTGGAACCATGTAGAGCTCTGTGCATAGAACCCAAAACCCTAAACCCTAAACCCCAAACCCACTGTCCCCTGAACTCTAAACCCGTCTCCCATGACTGAACACCCAAAACATCTCCCGCTCATGCCACCCTCACGCACCCCAGTGCCATAACAAAAGCCCATGAACAACCTCTGCAGTCCGAATCGCGCTTAGGGTAGGGTTTAGGGCTTAGGGCTCAGGCCTCAGGGCTCAGGGCTTAGGGCTTGGGGTTGAGGGTTGAGGGTCTAGGGTTTACAGGACATTCTCTTGTTGAGTTGAGCTCTTGTTCTTTCAGCTCCTCCTCGGCGTTCTGCCCTTGCTCCGCCCCTCTCAGCCAAAGAAATGGGCATCCAGGGCTGCAAAGTGCTCGTCCAGGATCTTTCCGTACTCCTGCCAAGGGTTTGTAGGGTTTATAGATTTATAGGGTTTATTGCGGTAAGGGTTAGGGTTTAGGGTTTATAGGGTTTATCGGGTTTATAGGGTTTATAGGGTTTAGGGTTTATAGGGATTAGAGGGCTTGTAGGGATCAGAGGGTTCATAGGATTTCTACGGTTTGGGAGGGTTTAGGGAATTCTTCAGGCGCCGAGTGTTGCCTCGAGCTGAGCATGTATTCTGAATGTCTCTACACTGTCCGGCCATCAGCCTCTGAGAGATCGATTTTGAGGATTCGCATTGGGATTTATTGAGCCCAAAGTAGCCAGGTTCGGGGCTTTTTCAGTTGCGGACTAATTACAAACCCGAAGGGCCATAGATCTGAATAGGGATGATGGTAGCATACGGTACATGATCCCAACTTGTTGGCGTTCATGTGGTCCGCACAGGCTTACGAGGTTCGATGGTGAAGATAGTTCAAGTTCCCCATCGGTGCTCAGAGCCTCACTGGCCCCATCCTACATTGCGGGTTTAGGGGTTAGGGTTTAGGGTTTCGGGTTCCCCTTGAGCACCAGGGAATCCTTCGATCCTGGAGGCCGGGTTCCCCCGAACAATCCTGTAAGCCCTAGAACTACTGCTTGCTTACGGTTCCCCCTACAAAATACAAAGGGTTCTTCCTTACAAGTGCAATACTGGGATGCTTCTCACCCTGAACCCTAAACCCTAAACCCTAAACCCTAAACCCTTTTTTTGTGGGTCTTGAGCAAACAGTAGGGAGCCGCCGTACAGCGTAACATTGAAGAACTGCCAACCTCATGCCCAAGGACAATAAATCCTGAGGTTTAGGGTTTAGGGTTTAGGGTTTAGGGTTTAGGGTTTAGGGTTTAGGGTTTAGGGTTTAGGGATACCTTGAAACAAGCTTTGGGGTGGCAAAGACTTCCGAAAGGTGCCAAGGCGAATCCTGATCCTGACGGCTTTGGGGCTTACGAGGCAGACACTTTGCTACCAATTGCTTAAGCACCCGTTTAGGGTTTAGGGTTTAGGGTTTAGGGTTTAGAGTTTTTGGGTAATTATTTTGTGTTTTTTTTTTTTTTTTTGGGGGGGGGGGGGGGGGTTCTTAAGCAAATAGCTGGAGGACCATGGAATGCTGCGACTATTTTGGCCAGATGTATCTTTGGGGATCTTACAGAAAATAGGGGCCCTTAACATGGACCCCCAAAGCAGTAGGACTCCCCTCAGAGTGAGGATCCCAATGAGGTGGTCCTGATTTCGGACACCACCATATCTGTATACGTAAGGGTTGAGGGTTGAGGTTTTGGGGTTTAGGGCAATGCACTTAGGGGCTTTGGGTCTCTCCCGAGAAGCCATCACTTTCGCTCGGATCGCGCAGCATGGAGGGCGGAAGCACAGTTTTAAACTGAGCTGCCAACCTCGAAAAAACTGAAGTCAACATTGGCGCGCGCCAAGCATCGGGAGGTTGTCACATTGATTCCAAGGGCTGAAACAGGCTGGCATGGGAATTGGTCACAAGCCACCCTAAACCCTAAACCCTAAACCCAAGTTCTCATCTCCCGTGTGCTGGTCGCTCACACGCCTGCATGCCAAACTTCTTCCTGACGACGTTTCTGAGATCAGGTAGATTCCTTCGTTGTCTTCGGCACTATAGTGAACAGAGCGAATCAACATTCATGGGTTTAGGGGTTCCGAGTCAGGGGTGGGGGAGGGGGGAAATGCGTCCCAGCCTTCTCCAAACGTACGCAACTACACTCTGAGATGTTTGCCCCAAACCCTCTAAACCCTCTAAACCCACTCAAACCCCTTAGACCCTCTTAACCCCTCTTACTTAAACCCCCACAGATACCCTGCTGAGGCTCTCGATGAAGAGTTCGCACCCGGGGTCAGGAGACGCCTCGCGGCAGTCCGTCGTCGTCCTTTGGCTCAGCTTCCGTAGGCGAGCCACGCTTGCCTGAGTAAACAAATGTATATAATACACCCCAACATATTTGTTTGCCACTTACTTACTCATTTATAGTGTGCATCTATCCATCTATCTATCTATATACGCCCTAAACCCTAAACCAGAGTTCTGGGCAGGCTCCTAGTGTAAGCCGTTCAAAACTTGACTCGAAAGCACTCGCCAAGCACACTCTTAGCCCGAAGAGGTAGCTTGGAATTGCATGGTTCTGGTGTAGGGGGGAACTATACTCCCCTTAGAACCTTAAAAAGTAACTATACTCCCCTTAGAACCTTAAAAAGTAATCCTCTTGGGTTTCATATCAACAAAATCAAAAACAAATCCCAAGGGGGATATAGAGCAGAGGAGGCCTTCCTAGGATTCCCAAGAAGAACGGCCGAAGAGAAAAAATCTGCACAACCCCGAAAGGCCGGGCAAGTCTCCTCCAACGTTGCCCTGACAGAGTCGCTGTTGTCATCCCAGAGAGACGCAAAGCTTCGGTTGAAGTAGTCATAAAGTTGAACGTCAACACTGGCTAAGCCCAGAATTCGCCTGGACTGTCGAGCCGTCGGCTCTTCGTACTTGGTGCCGTGTCCGTCCTGCACCCGCATGGCCCTGTATGCAACATCTTCGAGCTCGACTTTCAGCGCCTGCTGCAGCAAGACCAAGCCCTCGTCGTAGCGCTCATTGATCACCACGAGCCCGCTCGACGGATACGAGAAGGCAGCTGACAGGGACTTGATCCAGGACTCCACTTCCGCAGAGCTGGACTCGGCCCTCCCGCCGGCTTCGTAGAAGCCCAAGTCGCGGGCTTGAAAGTTACGGGCGATGCCCAGATGCCTGCCCACATGCCGGGGTCTGTGCTGCTCTTCGGGAGTCGTCGCGAGGTAGTCGATGAAATCATCCAGCGAGGCCCAGTCGTAATGAGGCCGGTACCAGTTGAAGACGCTGGTCATGTGACTCAGGGGCTCCCGGAGGACGGTCACAAAAAAGGCCGACCTGTGTTGCAGCAAAGCACGCAGCCCTGCGCGCAACTGCGGCAATTATTATTTAAAAGGTACGAACTAGGGTTTGGGGTTGAGGGTTTAGGGTTTAGGGCCCCCACACGCAAAGAGGCCGATAAACCCCCACAATTGGAGACAGAGAGGCGGCTTCAGGTAGGATCGGAAGGCCGACACGTTCAGAACAGCATGGTGCAGGATCATGTCAAACTGGTGGTCCGGGGGAACTTTCTCCTTAACTGAACTGGGAACCCTAGCAACAATTATAATTTTCTGCTGTTTCTTAGGAATCATAGTCTTCAAAAATGGCAAAATGTTCCCAAGTATCCCTAAGTCTCCGCCATAGGACCAGGAAAGTGGCTGGGATAGTTGAAATCCCCGGAGCAGTCGGGCCAGAAGATGTCCATGTGGCGCTGCACGGCCAGGCGTAGAAGGATGCTCTGCATGGTGGAGCTTCCCGTTTTGTGAGTCTTCAAGTATGCGATCGGCGTGCATGCCTGCTTGAGCGCACGCTGCGGCAACTGCAGCAAGGAAGTCTCTCCATGCTCGTCGCAGGCTGCGGATGAGCAGGAAGTAGCCGCCAGCGTGAGCCCTGCTAATCCTGTTATTAGTGATCGGAGGAGGCGCATGGTTCGGTACGGCATGGGCTCTGCTCGAGCCACTCAGCATCGGAACATCACATCGGAACCCATGTAGGTGTGCCAATGCTGCCGGAATGGGGCGGCTGCCTGCAATGGAGCCTCTAGAGGTTCTATTCTATAGACACCCATAGAAAACAAAATCGCAAACCCACAGTTCAAGCTGCAAAGTAACCAAGACCCCGACACTTTTGCAAGCCTTCCATCTAACACAACTTCACCCTGAACCCATACCCCTAAACCCTGTCCTCCCAGTCCACAGTGCCCCGGAAGAAGTTGCACGAGAGGTTCGCCTCAAGCAGCACCTCAAAAACTCAATGTTTTTGTTTCGCAAAGGGCGGAGCCTTCAGAACCGAAAGCCTGAACTGGGGGTTTACGAAGTACGGGGACCCCAAATTGAGCTCCCAAAATACTAGGATCCCCTTAACATCAGGATCCCAATAAGGTGCCCTAATTTCGGAAACCCTCAACTGGGTTCCCGAAGTATACGGTGGCTTTTTTTGGTGTAGGTGTAGGGCTCTTAAACGAAACTCAAGCAAGGCCTGGCAGCATTGTAAACGCAGGTTTGATGGCTGCCTAGTCGACCGCATGACCTCCGAGCTTACTCTTTCTGTGCCTTATATACCCCCTTCCAGAAGCCGAAGCCCTACTAAACCCTAAACCCATTCTTCGTAGGTTACTGCAGCTATCGCTATGAAAAAAATGCGGAGGATGCGTTGGTGACCTGCAAAGATGAGCGGGTCTGGGGTGCTTACGGCCTGCTTGATGACGGTTCAGGCTGTGACTCATGGGCAGTCCTCACGGGCCCTAGCACACACAGGAGACCACAAGGCACAGATCTCCGCGCTAAACCCTAAACCCTAAACCCGAAACCCCAACCTAACCTAAAAACCCTTGGCCTGGAGCCCTGGCAAACGGGCTGAGACCGGCGCCAGCGACGCCGGAGCCGAAGGGTCCTCCTGGAGCCACTGGGGATTCAGGGTTTAGAGTTTAGGGTCTATATAGGGTTTAGCGTTCAGGGTTTAGGGGTTAGGGTTTAGGGTTTAGGGCTTAGGGTTTAGGGCTTAGGATGGCTTAGGGATGTTTAGGGTTTAGGGTTTAGAGCTTAGGGTCCTAAACCCGAAACCCTCACTTTCCCAAACCCTATGTAAGCCCCAACCCAAAAACCCAAAGAGAGCGGTCCTGGATTTGGGTTCGAGGCTCGCGCGAAGGATCCCAAATAACCCGTTTCAATGGCTGAGTTAACGTGCGAACTTCTTGCAAGTTTGTTTGAGGCCTTGGTTCTAGGGTTGAGGGTTTAGGCTTAGTGGCTCAGAAGCATGGGCAGGCATGAGCCCTGCATCAGTAACAGCACCAAAGAACGTTCGAATCTCGGACGATTCGTGAGACCCCCCCACTGCGTAGAGGGCCTGGAGGCCTAGAGCGGGGGAACATGCCTAGTTGTTATAAGATTCTTAACGGAGAGGGGTTTCACCGGGGGTAGGTCCCCCGGAAGATTCGGGAAGCAAAAGAGCCTTAGGGAGCAGTAGGGAGTATTCTGGAACTTTGGGTTACGTAACCCCTTGAACCCCCTACCCTTAAGAACCCTATAAGGCTTAGGCTTAGGACAACTGAAGGCCGGCACACCGGGTCGGCCACGAAGGCGACGTCCCAGCCGGCCAGGGGCACGGAGGGAATCAGGATCTCATGCGAGCGCCTGAGCGTCGCAAGGCAGGCGGCAAGGCGAATGCCTGAAGGTCTGCAGTTTCTGGGGTTCCGGATGGTTTGCCATCCGTTACATCTTGAAAGGCACAAGGTGTAGGATCCCAGCTTGAACTTCGCCGCTGCGTGCAGACAAGCGCCGAATGGTGCCAGCGACAGGGGGTTGATGAACTATGGGTTGAGCCGCTTTCGAGATGTTTGGAATCCGTGCCTTTCTGACTCAACTTGAGCGGGCTCGCAAGCCGTTGGCTCCGATTAGATGGCGGTTTCAGCTAGCACGCGAGGAGGGCAAGTTCACTGCGAGGATGGTGATGGTTGAGCATGGCCGACCTCTCTTAGGATAAGAACGCTTCTCTTTCCCTACTCAACCACATTTGCTGCATGGGGGCGCCCGAACCCAAGGCATGCAGAATATCGTGAACGTCAAGGGATTACGGCAGCGCTCGCAAGAATTGTAGCTGTCAGATCATGTCGAGCTCCTGGTATCGAGGGGTGCAGGTCGCGTGGCGCTTGGAAGAGGGCATCGTGTAAAACCGTAAACCCTAAACCCTAAACCCTGCGTAGGTTTTCTTGGATTGGCCTTTAAGCCCCTTCGAAAAGGATATTGGTGAAAAGGGTCCCTTATCAGCCCAAGAATGAGAAGAAGTCTCAACTCTCCCAAAGCCCCACCTAGGTATTTGTTTGTTAGCCCTAAACCCTAAACCCTAACCCTTATTGCTTAGCGTTCATAGTCTTGGTCTCTGGGGGAGGAGCGCTAAGGTTCAACGAGAGAAAGCCGGGAAGAAACCAACAGAACTCTAAACCCCCCAGACTGACATACTATTTGCTTAAGAACCCTGAAAGAAAAAACCAGTAAATCCCTAGAATGCCCTTATAAGGAAGACTTCCTTATAAGGGGTATTAAGAATATCTTTCATTTTGGGGGGTTCTAGAGCAATTACTAGTCAACCCTACACACCATACTTCCCTCAACCCCAGGAGCTGGGCCTTTTGCGCCCGACCTACTGCCAAGCGAGGACCATTTTTTCCTCGCCACCCCTAAAACCCTAAACCCTAAACCCTAAACCCTATACCCTATACCCTAAACCCTATACATATCGAGATTCACATCTCTGGACACGATGATGTCCCTGAGATTGTGATGGTTCTTCGGCCGCGCGGCAACATCGGACTCTGTTCTGGAAGCCCTAAACCCTAAACCCCTAAAGCCCTAAAGCCCTAAACCCCTAAAGCCCTAAAGCCCTAAAGCCCTAAAGCCCTAAAGCCCTAAAGCCCTAAAGCCCTAAACCCTAAACCCATCTAATTGCTGACGGCTTTCTTCGACGCAGCATTTGCCGAGCCCTTCTTCGGGGGCTGGGGCACGTCTTATATTGCGGGTTTAGGGTTTAGGGTTCAGGGTTCAGGGTTCAGGGTTCAGGGTTTAAGGTTTAGGGACTTGGCCGCCTTCTCTGCGCCATGTGCGTGGACACATCCTTTTCGCTGAGGACTGGAGCGTGTTTGCTTGGGCCTTTCAGCCAATGCAGTTCCGGCTCTGGCCGGAGCAGGTTGACCTCGAGGAAATGACGCAATTGCGCAATGGTTCATGGTTTGGGGTTCTGGCGCGGATTCGGGATTGCAGGTTTGACCTGCAGAGGCTCGCGGCAGTCGCCTGATTCGAGGGCCCGGGTTTCGGCCTTCTTGGCTGAAGTCGGGCCCCAAAACCCTAAACCCTGAACCCTGAACCCTAAACCCTAAGCCCTAAACCCTAAACCCTTGGCGATAGTTCTGACTCTCCCAGAGAAGAGGCCTTGAAGCAAAAAAGCCTTCACTGGCCTACTGGATGGTTGAAGGCAAATCTGATATGAAAAGACTGCTTCGACTAATTTGGGATATGACAAGGAATGACACCCTAAACCCTAAACCCTAAACCCTAAACCCTAAAACTCGCAACGCTCGGGGCGCTGAGGCCCGCCCTCCGAGGGGATACTTTACAACAACCTTACGAACCCAACAGCAAACGTTTAGGGTTTAGGGTTTAGGGTTTAGGGCTTAGGGCTTAGGGTTTAAGACTCCGCAACCCCAAAGGGCAAACTCTAATTGATAAGGCTGAAAGAAAGCTTTCCCCAACATTAAGGCTACCTCAAAACAAGGCCCCCAAAAACCCTGAACCCTAAACCCCAAACCCTACATTCCCTAGGCCCGAACCCTAAATTGCCTAAACCCTGCAATCCCTAAGCTTCCCAAACCCTAAGTTCCTACACCCCAAAAACCCCAAACCCTAAATTCACTAAGCCCCAAACACCAGATTCCCCAAACCCCAAACCCCGAGCCCCGAGCCTCGAACCCCAAACCCCAAACCCCAAACCCCAAACCCTAAACCCTAAACCCTAACCCCCCCCCCCCCCCCATGCTGGGAACCAGGCTCGCAGAGCTCTATGGCCTCCTTGACCTTTGGCAGGGTCTTGCCACCTCAAGTCGTTCTGGGGTTTAGGGTTTAGGGTTTAGGGTTTCGGGTTGAGGGTTTCGGGTTGAGGGTTTCGGGTTGAGGGTTTAGGGCTTCGGGTTTTGCATGGTTTTGGGGTTAGGGTTTGAAGAATTTAGCGTTTCGGGCTTAGGGCTGCAGGGTTTAGGGTTTAGAAGTTTAAGGCTTAGGGTTTAGGAAGTTTAGAGCTTCGGGCTTATTTAGGATTGAGGAAATTTAGGACTTCAGAATTTCAGGGTTCAGGAAATTTGGGGGGGGGGGGGTTTCGAGCTTAGGATATTTAGGGTTTGGGGGGGTTGTCTGGGGCTGTTGGGGGCTTGTAGGGTCTGTAGGTCTTGTAGAGTGTAGGGCCTCTCAGGGTTTAGGAAGTTTAGGGTTGAAGGTTTAGGGATTGTTGAGGACTTTTCACAGTAGCAGGCTCCGGAGGCAAGTGGGCTACAGTGATCTGGGAGGGGAAGCAGGGGGGGTAGGGAGGGGGATCTCCTGAAATTTTCCCACCCGAAATGCTAAAGCGACAGGCTTCTGCTTGTCTTTTGTGCTTTTTCTTTGGCGGGATTTGCTGATAAGGATCTCTTGTGTTTTTTCTTTGGGGGGGGGATTTGCTGAAAAGGATCTCTCTCTCTCTCCCTCTGTCTTTCATTCTTCATGCTTTAACAGGGCTTGAGTGATGGGTCCGAGGGTTTAGGGTTTAGGGTTCAGGGTTTAGGGTTTATGGGTGTGAAACCATGGCCGCTTCGAAGATACAGGAGCAATGCCGGCGGAGGTGCGGAGGTTCAACCCAGTGTCCGGGTGCTCGCAAATACCTTTGCTGGCGGAGGGCTTAAGCACGTCCGGGGAGGTTTCCGGGCGGAGAGCAGAAGTGCATGGGTTAAGTAACTGCATAATCCTAAACCTTAAACCCTAAACCCTACACCCTACACCCTACACCCTACACCCTACACCCTAAACCCTAAACCCTAAACCCTGACCTGCAGCTGTTCTGGGTTCGGAGGTCGTTCCTGCCAAGCTCGTGGTACTGCGCGGTGCGCCGGGGTCCGAGATGCCATCATCTTACTCAAGCCCTGTTGCATTCTCCACTCCCCTCGCCGTAAGAGTCTGAACCTTGGAACCTCTACGTGAGGGCTCATGGCATTTATACATGGGAACCGTGGTTACCCTACTTAAAACCCTACTTACAAGTACCCAGGAACCTCCAAGTACTGTCTCTTGCTTGGGACCCGCCGCGACATAAGCTTGAGGAGGTTGGAGAGGGGGGTCATGGATGCTGGTCCGAAGAAGGACACAAGACTGTCGCAACTGCATTGTAACAACGCGTTTCATCGGCACGTACCCCTAACCCCTAAGACCCCCTGATCCCTAAACCCTCTTAACCCTTAACCCTTAACCCTAAACCCTAAATCGTCTTAAATCGTTCCAGGAGGCTTCCGTCGGCGGTGCTCCATGGCTTTCCCAGAGACTTGAAGCCGGCCCTAGGATGAGCTCGACTCAATATGAAACCCTAAAAGGGGTTTAGGGGTTTGGGGCCCTTAAGCCTTCAAATGGGAACTATAGGGTGTGATCCGTATTTTAGGGCGGGTTGTGGCACTCCGGGATTAGTTTCAGTTTTGGCGTTTGGCACTTCTGCAGTGGTTTTTAGCGCTTAACGAAACCAAGTGGGCCAAAATTAGGGGGAGTTAACCTCTCATGGGACCCCTTCAGTGGGGTTCACGGGGAGGATTTCGTCAAACCAGACCCAAACCCCAAATCAACATCCGTAAACCCAACAAGGACACGCCACGTGCGAAAGACTCCAGTCTGAACTAGCACGTTGAGGGGCCATTAGACCCCGTTTTGGGATGGGATTTGGGGGTACAAGGTTGTGGGGCTTGCGGCTGAACATCTCAACACAAGGACCATTTTGGCTGCCAAGCGCAGGACCCTTGGAACGGGAGACGCAAGCGTCCTCACGGGGCTTCATCCCCCGAATCCCAATCGCCTTCGTCACTCGAGCTAGCCATGCTAGCTGCACTTGAGGATGAGCTTTCCGCAAGCAGGTGCTCGCAGCTTTCCGCGCCAGGGGCCGCAGGCCCGAGAGTATCCCAGACCAGAAGCTTGGTACGAACGCGGTCGTCAGCAGTGGGGACAGGCCAGGCACCCATGGCCAAGTGGCGCCATGAAGCCACCGCAAATCTGATGTCTTGCCTAAGTTGCTGGGTTCATGAGCCCCCAAAAGTGTACACTTTCAGTTCTGTAGGGCTTCGAGTATCCCAAACAGGTGTAAAGCGTATTCATTCAGCTACTAAGTTGCTGTGCGTGGAAGGGACAGCACTGCCACAAGACTTCCGCGCTCCTTTCGGAGTCTGTGCCACGTGCTCTATGCAGCTTAAGCACGCACACCCCTTTCCGCGTGACCACGATGAGCTTGTGAATGTCTATACTGACGCAAAGTACGTCACCTTGTGACACGCGCGCCTCATCGTCATCATCGGACCGTCCTATCTGCATGCAAGGCACACCATTCTCGGAAATGTCAAAGGGGTCCCAAAGGCACTCAGGCTCGCCATCCTCTGGGCCACTAAGAGAGCTCATGGAGAGCGGGCCCCCATCGTCAGAAGAAAGCAACTCTTTCTCATCCTCTGACGGCCAGAACCATGGATCCAGCAGATGGTGGAAGGGGGCGTCGTCGCAGACAGCATAGCCGTAAGGCCCACCCAGAGCAGCCCGAAAACATATTCTGGCAGCTCCATGGCCATGGTCCGAAAGCAGGTCCCTCCGCCACTTGCAGAAGTCGCAGGTCGGGGGGCGGGGGAAGTCATATCGCAGCTCTCTGCGGTCGGCTTGGCATTCGCTGCACGACCAGTACGGATCGTCGTCGAAGATGTCTCTAAAAATCGTGTGTTTCAAGTGCTCGGCATTTAGGAGGGCTGCTATGGATGCGGAAGTCAGACTGACCGGTCGGCCTTGGTCGCTGTATACATGTAGGTCGAGAGATGTAATGTCACCGACGTACGCGTCTTCTAACACTAGGCTACGGATCTGCTGCTGCGATGCCACATGGAAGACTAGCAGCCTGTTTTCCATGAGGTCCGAATAGTTACGGACATGCATCGCGACGACCAATAAACCACCATGACACGCCAGCTGCTGCACCACGGGGTGAGCTATGACAGGAACTTTGTGCAGCTCGTGCTCAGCCATCAATGCATTCTCTGAACCGGACTCTGCCGCAGGCGACATGCGCCAGAACTGAAGGAAAACTGCCCGCGTGTGACGCGCAGCTTCATCTGTCTCCTGTTTGTCGATGAACATCCCGCCTGCGAACTCAGCTTGCACAACCACAGCAAGAATGTCGCTGCTGGCCACACACGCTGCGGTGACTCCATACCGAAATGTTTTCGGACCCCCAGCTTGCGTAATTTGACAAATTTGCACAGATCGCTTTTCCAGGTCAATGGTGAAAGGCTCCTTCAAAACCTGCAGAAAGCACACCAGTTCCAAGTCGAGCTCACCTCCGGGTTCTGTCACATGCCAAACTGCACAGCAAGGGCCTCCCTTATCAATCATGGCGGCCGCAAGGTAGCCGTTTCCACCGCTCAGGGCCTGGAGGGACCGGTGAAATCGGTCAGGCTCACCCTCTGGGTCATAGATGTAGCCAGGCCCCTGGTCGGGATACAGCTCGAAATATTCCCCCCTCCCCAGGTCCAAGGCATGAAACGTCCCATGTGTGTTGTTATCTTCATAAAGCACCAAGATGGAGTGGCTCACAAAGACCGCGCCGTCATAGAGAGGTTGACACCGTTCGCACCCGTACACGTCATCCATATCATCTGGGCTCGCAACTGATGAGCGGTGTAGGTTGCCTGGCTGGCACCACCGCCTCCGCCAGTGTGAGAGAATCGCCACGGACTCCCACGCCTTCACAGCCAACAGTGCCAGTTGGGATGAAGCACCCAAGAAGGGCAAGAAAACGCCCAAGATATCGTCGGACAGTTCCACGAGGATGTCAGAGAGCGAGAATCTCAGGGGTGAGGCGCTGCGAACGCAGGACTTCAGGATATTGAGACTCCACGGGTTACAGGACTCAACCCGGCACTTAAGGGACAAGGTACATGAACACATGATGCACCACTGGGGAACAGCGGCTATCGGAAAGGTCCCAGCCCTGCCTCTGCCTGCGGTGAATGCACCGCACGTCCACGTCTGGGGTCCCGAGGCAATCGAGAGCTCGTTTTTGGGGAAGCAGCTGTCGGGCATCACCGGTTGTTTCAGATTGCATGTTGGCGCTTCTGAGATGCAACGTAGACTGGGGTTCAAGGGGTTCAGCGCGTGAAGCAGGCCCCATGGCCCGATGGCGATGCTGGCGATGTTGCTGCCATAATCACCTCTCTGGGCGCCATGGGCTCAGATGTTCAACACCGAACGCTCACACCAGGACTGCACGAAGCCCTCTTCTGTGTTAGAATGCTGGTTCTGAATGCAAGCTCATCATCATGAGCCAAACCACAACACCAAAGCTTTTCCAGACATGGCAACAGGAACCATGACAATCTTCTGCACTTGAACAACTGTGAAGCAGAAACGACATTCCCTAAGCCCTATCTACACCCTAAACCCTAACCCTAAACCCTAAACCCTAAACCCTAACCCTAAACCCTAAACCCTAAACCCTAAACCCTAAACCCTAAACCCTAAACCCTAAACCCTGAACCCTAAGTAGCCATTGAGGCTTGAAGCCCGGAGTTCGAAGCGTTCTGGGAGTGAGCTGAAGCCCTGGATCACAGCTGGGCCATCCTGAAAAGCAGGTACAGCAATCTACTTCGGGCGCCAAATGAACCGTCAAAATTGAGGGCATACACCCCGTACCACTACTTGGAGGTTCATGGTGCTTATTTACCAATTATAGCTGCACTTCTCACCCACTTATAAGCCCCTTAGGTGCCCTAATGTGGTTATAAGTACAGTTATAATTACAGTTATTCTGGGTTAATAAGTACCATGAACCTCCAAGTAGAACTCCTCTTAAAGGTAGTCTGACCCCTAAGCGCTCTTAGGCCTGATTGTGGCTCCCCTAACCTGGAACAGTGTGGAACAGCGTAGGTCTCCGGCGCATACCAGTGTGCGGAGGAGCTTCCAGCCTCTTTGCTTCAGTTTGGTTTGCTTAGATTATGGGGTTCTTAAGGGAGGGGGATCTCAAGGGGTATGTAACCCAAGGCTCCCCAATATATCCCTACTACTCCCTACTACTCCCTAAGCTTCCCTAATGTTCCCCTTGAACCCCCATTCCCTTAAGAACCCTACAAATAGAGGACCCCTGAGAGCCTGGGCGAGGGTTGCCAAAGTTTGAAACCAGGTGGGGGCCCTTTAAACCCTCTGAAAAAGAGTCCTAGGTGGGAATCCTCTTGTAAGGGACAAGATAACTTAATCCCTGTTCCCCTAGGAAGAAAAAAGGATCCTTTTTGCTCATATATAAGAAAGCCCATAACCCCAAAAAGTAAAAAGGATCCCTAGCACTGATTCAGATAAAGCTGTCCCTCTAAAGCGCCGACCCCGGGGAGGAGGACCCGGAGACTCCGGAGGGACATCGTGTTGGGGTTCCGGTTGTCCTGCCCTCCGATGCTTTCCTTGCCTAGGAAAAAGACTATAGGTTAAGGGTTTAGGGTTTAGGGTTCGGGTTTAGGGTTTAGGGTTTCGGGTTTAGGGTTTATAAGGGTTTAGGGTTGATCCGGCGCGAAATCCTGTGACAACAATGATCGGGAAATCACCACTCAATCCCAAAGCAAAACAAACCCGCCTCTCCTGCAGACATAGAAGCCCCAAAGTGACCCCGATAGACTGTAGGACCTGTAGGAGACAAGAGACCCCACCCAAAACCCTAACCCCCAACCCTAAACCCTAACCCTTAAACCCCTAACCCCTAACCCCTAACCCCTAAACCCTAAACCCTAAACCCTAAACCCTAAAAATGGGAGCTCCCAGCCTCCAGAGCCTGCTTTCCGCGAGGATCTGGCACATCCTCGGCGGGAGCGTGGGGGTTTGGGGGTTTGGGGGTTTGGGGGTTTAGGGGTTTAGGGAAGTTTAGGGGTTTAGGGGTTTTGGGGGTTTGGGGGTTTGGGGGTTTACGGCCTAGGGGGTTTCGCTTGGGGTTTAGGGTTTAGGGTTTTGGACTCTAGAGGTTAAGGGTTTGGGGTGTTTCGGGTTCGGGACAGACTGGGCGTGCAGGGGGGGCTGTTCCAGAGTGTTCCTTGCGAAGCTCTCGAGTCAAAGAGTGGCACCCAACAAGCATCAGGGGGGGCAAACTCCGCCGGGGCCCAAAACTTAGGGTTTAAGGATTTATTGTACAGGGGAAAGGGTTTAGAGTACCCTGCAGCCCCAACACCCCGCTTTGGGTACATTGCCGCAAGGATTGAACCCTAACCCCTAACCCCTAACGCCTAACCCTAAACCCTAAACCCCAAACCCCAAACCCTAAACCCTAAAGCCTGAACCTTAAAACCTAAACCTTAGCTCGAGGCCCGGAAGAGGCTGAGACCCCCTTTTCGAGCTACGCAGGTGTCACAACAAAGTCTCCAAAAACCCTACACTCCCCCGCCCCCTCCTCCCCCCTTTGTAACCGTGAATTTGCATTCCAGGACGCCACCATGATGCAGCTGTGATCGGTGGAAGCGCCGGCACGGCCGGCACGCCACACCTGGCTGTGGGGGGTTTAGGGTTTAGGGTTTAGGGTTAAGGGTTTAGGGTTTAGGGTTTAGGGTTGTTGGTTTAGAGTTCAGGGCTAGGGTTTAGGGGGGTGTAGGGGGGGCCTAGGGGGTTCAGGGCTTCCGGGACTTTGTTCAAGCGTCCTTTTTCAGCGGTGATTGCATCGAAACCGATGATTTTTTTGATGGCTTTCAAGCGAGATCCTCATCCACAAACGCGCTGTCACAACCGGAGAACGCTGTTGCCGGCTTGAAAAGTACAACCCAATCAAGCTGCAAGGCTGGTATCATCACATGGAACCCTAAAACCTAAACCCTAAACCCTAAACCCTAAAGTGGTCCGGGCCTAAGGTCGAAATCGAGGGAAGACCAGCGGAAGCTGACACCCAGATCAGCATCCCGAAGCCCAAGCCCTCGCCCAGCAAACAATATTTCCTGGTTCTTAGTAGGGAATGGGGGAATTCGGACCCTATATATATATATATACATACATCTATATATATATATATATATAGATATATATAGATATATACCCTTTACGGGATTCTGTTGGGTACCCCCATTCCCTCATTCCCTACTAAGAACCAGCCAGAAAAGCCGTAAGCACGCAGGGGCGGTACCGCGCAAAGGGCTTTGCAAAGCTGACCCGTGGGTGCAGCGCCACCTTGGTGTTCCCAGGCATCCTTTGAGTAACTAAGGCTTTAAGCAAGAAAACCCTAAACCCTAAACCCTAAACCCTAAACCCTAAACTCTAAACCCTCTCTTCGGGTTTTGGGTGACTGTGGGGCCGGCGCAGGATCCGTCCAAGCAAACATACTGGAACCCTAAGCCCTAAACCCTAAACCCGAAACCCTAAACCCGAAAGCCTCAGGCCTCCCTAAGCCCCAAGCTCCCCCAAAAAGGAGCCCCACGAAACCCTCAACCCTACAAACGCCATGACTTGGGATGTTCCCCCCTTATACGAGCAGTCCTTAATAGGAATTCTAGTGCCCCCGATGATCACCCCTATTAAGGGCTGTTAGTATGAGGTGGAGCATCCCAACCTAAACCCTACAAACCCTATGACCCGAAACCCTAAACTCTAAAGACTAAACCCTACAAACCCTATGACCATACAACCGTCCGTCTTAAACCTGAAACCCTAAACCCAACAAAGCCCTGACATCCTCCCTAGGCCCAACACCCAGACATGGCAGAGAAGCCTGTCGGTTTAGGGTTTAGGGTTTAGGGTTTAGGGTTTAGGGTTTAGGGTTTAGGGTTTAGGGTTGAGGGTTGAGGGTTTAGGGTTTAGGGTTTAGGGCAACTCTACACTTTCAGAGCCGGCATCTGCGAGCTTGACATCAGGGGTTCAGCCCCCCTTAAGCCTCCAAGGCCAAGACACCCCAAACCAACCCCAGGCACCTTTCGACAGGTTGTTTCAAGAGTTGAGGAGGGGGTTTAGGGTTTAGGGTTTAGGGTTTAGGGTTTAGGGTTTAGGGTTTAGGGTTTAGGGTTTAGGGTTTAGGGTTTAGGGTTTAGGGTTTAGGGTTTAGGTTTGGTATATTCCGTGCCCCCCCCCCCCCCCCCCCAACCAAAAACAACAAAGGGGTACGTCCCGAGCCTTGCCCCAAGATACCAGCATACTGATCATAGGAACCACCCAATGGCTTCGGGACCTTAAACAATGCTTGAACCCCACTTTTCAATTTTCTGAAACCCCAAACCCTAAACCCCTATTTTGGGGGGGATCCTAAACCCTAAGCCCCTATTTCTTGGGGATCCTAAACCCTAAACCCCTCTTTTTTGGGAATCACCCCCCACCTCCTCCCCCCCCCAAGAAAGAGGAACGCTTGAAGCCTGGGGCCGGGTCCCAACAGCTTCAGCGCGCCCCTGGAGCCCGTCACCTGAGCCACGCTGAGCTCTTGGGGCTGCTTTGGGGCTTTGGAGGGCCAAACCCTAAACCCTAAACCCTAAACCCTAAAGGCCGTGAAGATTGGTCTCTAGTTCTTTGGGCTCCCAAAACATCACACCCCAGCCCGGAAATCCAACCCTCTCAAAGCCCTGAGCATCCTAACCCCCAACAGCCCAACGTCGCATTCTGGGTTTAGGATTTCGGGTGTTGGGTTCCGGCTTCAGGTTTTAGGGTTTAGGGTTTAGGGCTTAGGGTTTAGGGTTCAGGGTTCAGGCTTTAGGGCTTAGGGCTTTGGGGTTTAGGGGTCTGAGCTCCCAGCCACGCGCATGGTGGAGAGAGGGCTCTCCTGCAAGGCTCACAGCCCACGAAGGGCTGCAGGTTTAGGGTTTAGGGTTTAGGGTTTAGGGTTTAGGGTTTAGGGTTTAGGGTTTAGGGTTTAGGGTTTAGGGTTTAGGGTTTAGGGTTTAGGGTTGAAGGTTGAGGGTTTAGGGTTGGAGGTTTTGTAGGGCTTAGGGCTTTCAGGGGCTTCCAGGGCGAGCCCTAAACCCTCAACCAATAACCCTAAACCCTAAACCTCTCCAGAGCTTCGGGGACTTCGTAGAACGGTGTGTTTCAAACCCTTTTTTTTGTAGCAATAGCCGGCAAAGTGAAGTAGGCTTTGCCTTCTGAAGGTCGTTCCTTATAACTGGGGTCTCTTTGATGATCTTTGCAACCGCTAACCCTGAACCAGCCCAGAATGGCTCCTCGGGAAGGAGC